GGGTGATACACTGTTTTAAGTTGCAATGTTCTTTCTTGCCAATGGAGGGAAATAATGCTTTAGTAATCAGTATGTGAATATCAGATTACTGCGTAGACCTGTCCTTTTGTTTCTCATTCAGTCATCTATCAACCATTGTCACCTTCTAGCTAATATCATTTCAAAGATTAATTTATGTGCACCATTTGATTAAATTTCCATGATTTTCTCAAAAGAGTTTTCTGTATACATGCAATACTAATGCAATAGCAAAGCTGGCTGAGGAATTCTGGGAGTTGAAGTCCACAAGTCTTAAAGTTGCCAAGGTTGAGAACCCCTGCAATAGACTAAGATAAGAGCTTAAAATTAAAAAGGAGACTCAAGCTGGATAGTAGGAAGAATTTATTCATGGTAAGAATTTTTAAGAAATAGAAGTTAGCCTAGAACAGTATTAGATTCCTCCTTGCTAGCAATATTGGGGAGAGAACATCCATTATTATTTGTTAACCACTATATTACAACTTGAGAGCCATTTAATTGTTGTGATTAAGACATCAGGCTAGAAATGGGAGACCATGAGTTCTAGTCTCACCTTGGTAATGAAGTCAACTGGACTGTTTCTAATACTGCTACACAGCCAAACTAGTAAACAGCAGAATAATTTTCCAGCACAGAGAGCAAAATCCAGACATTGTCATGTTTAGACAATTTGTGATCACTGGGATAGCACTTAAGCATGTTTACATAAAATACAATAGATACAAACAGAACTACTTTGGAATTCCTATCTGGATCTATCTGCCATACACCTAACTCAGGTCCTTTAAGCTTAGCATTATGTACACGAGCAATTTTTTTTGGTTTTCAGCAGGAACTTGTTGCCAGCTTTGTCTGGTAATACTCAGAAAAATCACTGCTAACACCAAGCAGACAGCATCCTTCTGTAGCTATAGCACATTTTAACTATGAGCTGAAATGTCAAGGCTTCCTACATTCAAGTACAATGGTACAAGGACTCCCCCCTCCCCAAGTCTGCTATTTATAAATTGAGCCAGATGAAATGCTGATTTAAAATTAAATTTGTTATACCCCAATTGCTCTCTTAATGACATTCTTGGCTTTTAGCCAATGTCTAAGCCTGCATAGCCATCCCCTTGTTATAAACTCTGCCTCTGAATGTGCAGCAGTGTTAGGAGCCCTACTTGAAATAGTTTTCTTAGGAAGCCAGCTTGAACATTCTCCGGTTTTTCATAGTTGAGACCTGGATTTAACTGCACTACATAGAGCAGCTGTGAAAAGGTCTTGGCTTCAAAGCAGCTGGAATATTTGGGGTTCTTCTAGAGCAAAAGAGAGTGGACTGCTACTGAGCTCCTCTGAGCATGCAAAGAAACCTGAGAGATGTAAGTTGTTTCCCTGAATAATGCAGCACAGCCCTCAGATATGTCAACAAGGGAATTGTTCAGTTATGTGTCCTTTGAAGGTCCAGTGAAAACTATGTTTTCACATAGTTAATATGTAAAGAGCGTTCTCTACAGAAATGGATCAATGATTCTATGGCTCTTCTGATACCTACTGGTCTCTGTGACAGTAGCTCAGCTACTGTGTAAAGCAGTAGGTCTATTAGTCAATTTTGAGGGTGTAAAACTCTTCCTTGTTAATGGCATTTACCACTACATTACTATAGTAATTAAAAAATACTGGGGGAAAAATGCATCCTTGTTTAACTACTTTACTAGTTGGCGCTGTATTTGAGAAATGCTGAGAGATGGTACATCTCACCTTCAAACTGGTGTACTTACAAAGTATATACAATAGGGTCGATAACTATCTGTTGCAGATGCTCTGATGTTTTTTTCCAGTTGCTCTAGAGGTAAGTCAAAAGCTTGCCTGAGATCTACAAACAAAACCAAAAGAGCTGACATAGGTAACTGAGAACATGTAGCCCCTGATTTTCGACCATAATGGAGCCTGTCCATTCTGTTTGTAAGTTGTGATAGTTATAAAGTGGGTCACTCATGTGACTGACCTAATTTTGTGATCAGTTTTGTGGTGGTTGTTAAAACAATGCCTGGTTTTGCTGAACATCAGAAGTAAATACTGGTTTTCAGCAAAAATATCATAAAATGAAGTCATGTGACCATGAGAGGGTGCAAACAGGCATAAAGGTGGGCTGGTTGATGAATGCTCAAAATGTGGTCATGTGATCATGGGAGGAGTGTCCTGGTGGTTGTAACTTCAAATCAACACTAGATCATATGTATTCCCTGGGGAGGTTCATGATAATTTAAGCCAGGCATGTCAAACTCGTGATGTCATGTGACGTGCAACGTATCGGGCCGGTTTTGCCATTGCCGGCAATGGGGTGGGCGCAGCTTCCACATGATGTGGCCGGCTGCGGGATGGCAGTTTGACACCCCTGATTTAAGCTAAGCAACTGATCATAAGTTGAGGTCTGTCTATTTTTCAATGAAATGGGATAGTATTATTCCTTAATTGAACACAAAGAAAACTCCCTGAAACCTTGTCTGTTAAAATCTTCTTTGTTCCTCCACTAAGAACTTATTTCCTTCCAGCCATTCTAATGGGGTTCCAATAAAGATGCCTAGCTAGATTTTACATATTGTATTATGTTAAACAGATTCATTGGGCATATAGGCAGTCCTCGACTTAAGACCACAACTGAGCCCAAAATTTGCTAAGTGAGAAATGTATTGAGTTTTGTCCCATTTTACAACTCTTGCCACGTATGTTAACTGAATCTGTTCTGAATCATATAGCTCTATGTAACCTCGTATAGCTCTATGTAACCCTAACTAGAGAGCACGTATCAGTAGGTTAGAATATCTGGCAGTTATTGGGTTAAGTGCTGGTTTGTTAATGGATCAGTGGGAGGAGTTTCTAAAGGGCATTGGGAGATTTCCTGGACACAAGCCATTTGGGAATGCCTTTGTTCATCCAGCCTCATGGCCCCTAGCCACACGGCTTGGAGATCTTATGCTTATGCCAACATGTGATGCTTATGCAGAAGAAGAGGGGAAAATCCATTATCAATTTACCTATGGAAATGAACAGAGAGATGTAATAGACAGAAGTAACATGGTAAAAACAAGTGTTTACTCTGAATAAACATTTATCTGTTTTATAATTATTTCTATTGAGTTGTCTATCTGCCTTAGATTGAACATAGAAGCAAGTTGTTCTGTCTGGGCAGAACAGAATCACTGTCAACATTTTGACAATTAAGAAACTGCAACCATTTTACCTTTTGCTTTTACTGTGCTTTTTCTGCTGTTTGACATATTTAGATGTAGAAAGGGGGAGGAGGGGAATGCTCCAGTGTTTTCAGTTAGCCATAACAATTGCAGCTGTGTGTGTGTGAACTCAAGGTCAATGTTAGATAAAGATTCGGCAGGTTGAGAAGTTGGGAGGAGAGCCCATGTTTTAGACTAATTGGTGAATGTGATTTATGACAGCCTTTCTGGGGTGGGAATTACAACTTGTTACTTTGTATCTGGGGGAGGGAACTTCAGTCTTGGGTTCAACTATGTAAGTGCCAGATACTTTGTTTCCTGAATAAAATGTTCTTTAAGGAAGAAATCTTTGCCTTGAAGTTCTTTTAATTGGTTCCATCTATTGGAACCATGACAATCACTGCAGTTGTTAATTTAGTAACATGGCTGTTAAGTGAATCTGGCTTCCCCATTGACTTTGCTTATCAAAAGGTTGCAAAAGATGATCACACGATCTTGGGACACTAGCAACGATCATAAATATGAACCATTTGCTAAGCGTCTGAATTTTGAATCACATGATCAAAATGCCTGGGGATACTGCAAAGATCACAACTGTGAAAAAGGGTCATTTTTCTGTTGTAACTTTGAATGGTGACTAAGTGAACTGTTGTAAGTCAAGTACTACCTGTATTTCCCTGCCCTGAAGTCTACAAGGCACTGATAACTTTCATAATGGGGAAGCCAGATTCAATTAAGCTATTCAATTAAGCTATTTTCCAAAGCACCTGAAGGCAGGACAAGAAGCAACGGGTGGAAACTAATCAAAGAGAGAAGCAACCTAGAACTAAGGAGAAACTTCCTGACAGTGAGAACAATTAATCAGTGGAACAGCCTGCCTCCAGAAGCAATAAATGCTCCAACACTGTAAGTTTTTAAGAAGAGACTGGACAGCCATTTGTCTGAAATGGTGTAGGGTTTCCTGCCTGAGCAGGGGGTTGGACTAGATGACCTCCAAGGTCCCTTTCAACATTACTACTATTACTTACCAACTGTGTTACTAACTTAACATCATCCAGCAGCAACATCTGCCTATGGAGGGGGGAAGAGTCAAAAACAGCAAAAAGGTGGCTGAGACTATTGAAGCTCCAGCTTTTTTTTTTTTTAAACATGCATCTCTGGCACAATTAAAAAACTGTGGAGCTTCAATCATGCATTTGCAGCTGTGGTTTTTGCTGCTTTGACCCTATGCAGATGACCATGCAGTGGATAGTGCTGGATTGACAGCTGAAAAACTCTGGTTCAACATTCCATTCCATGAAACCAACTACTCTTGGGGCAATCACTTAATCTAGCCAAACTCAGAGGATTTTTGAGAAAATAAACCAGAGGGGGAAGAACATGTATGTCACTTTATTCTTATACCAGGGGACAGATATAGTTAAAAAAAAAAGAAACAGCAATTTCTTCTAAGTGAGCTGCTGTTATAGAGAAAAGATGAAGTCTGTTAAAGGTTAAGCTTTAGCAAATATTTTTTAACCATGTTAACCACACTCATATAATTCAGGGTCTTTGTGCAATTTGTTGTAAAGGCAAACAAGACATAAAGTAGGGAAAGATGTAAATCTATCGGAAGATTTTGATAAGGAACGCATGACTAGGAATAATTTTTAAATTTGATGCCCAAAGCAAAAATGGGTTTGGTCATATTTATTTGTGCATGTGTTTTAAATAAAAGACTTTGCTTTAATTTGTAATGCTTTTGATCCATGAAGATATTGAAAATTAAGATTTCAAATGCAATTTCAGATAGTTTATTTCCACCAGAATGCAGTATTATTTTTACTCAATACATGATGTATCCACTTTCATTACTTTTTTTGCCAATATGTCAAGAATAAACTTTCTTCACCAGTTCATCTCATAATGTTCTGCCACTTATTTAAGTTTCACCCCAAACCTTCTGACTACATATGGTGAATCGTATATAGAAGCAAGTAACATTTCTGTAAACCTAGTTAATTACATTTTATTCTCTTGATTCTAGCAAACTTTTTGTTTTCAGGAACACCACATAAACCACAGTCCTCAAATTAGCCATCCAAGTCCATGCGTATTAATGTGCCAAATTTATTTCCATTGCCCTCACTTAGTCTGTCACCCTTCCTCAAATCCTAATTCTGATCCTCATCCCAGCTTTCCATTTTAGTTAACTACTTTTCTGAACAGTTTCAGACTGCAGTGACTAATATTTAGGTTACACTGCATACTTCATTGAGTACAGAAAAGTAGGAACTGTAAAGGTGAGGAATCAAAACTGATTTCCCAGCAGCAGCAGACTAAGTACATACAGAAATAGAGAATATTTATCGCTCAGGATTGAATTGTGGAGTCCTTGCTGCTCCCTATGCTTGGTGGTTTTCTTGCACAGGTTTCATTAGCAAACTAGGTAACATCATATGGACTTCTAACTCACAGAATTTGCAGCCAGTGCTGTATGGAAAATTCTGGGAGCTTAAGTCCGCATAGAAGATAGGTGTGGTAGTGAGAAATACCAATCTGTGCTTCCACAAAATAGTCTTCTGAGAGACAATGTCTGAAACCTCTAGCTCACAGGTGTGAAACTGGCAGCCCGTGGCTGGATGCGTCACGCACAGGCCACACCCACTCTGGCTCCGCAAAGGCAAAAAAAGTCATGATACGTCACGATACATCACGTGACGTGATTGAGTTTGACACCTGTGTTCTAACTGTTCAACTTATGGGCTCAGCCCTGCCAATAAACCACTTGAGTTCAAGTTAATTATTGGTTACACCACAATGAAACAAAACCTATTATAGATTAATATGATGTTTGTCCCTCTGGAAATAATGTGGTTTACTCTGCTCTCTCTTATTGTGAGCCAACATGGAACCATTCCTTTGTGAGATGTGTAAATTTATTTCTTAGCTATTTCTTACATTGCTTGCTTAATTTTTTTTAGTGTAAGATTTGGGGGTTCCTAACAGTTGAGGGTGTATTTCCATACTGTAGCCATTTAGTGAGATTCCCTTGTGTGGTAATTAACTGAATGGTTTTGAGAATGCAGGGATGGTTGGGCTGTGTTAATTCCCCCATGATGGGAATGGCTCTGGACTATGTGTTTGAAGTTAGGCGTTTCTTGATTTTTCTTTTCAGGCTGACTTTTCAATACTTCCAGGCTCTTCACTTTGTCTCTGGGAGCCTCAGTTGTCATCATAGGAGTACTTGCTGCATTGTTCACCTGTGAAATAGTAGTAAATTCTGATATATTATAAGATGGACTCAAAAGGAAGCCAGATGGAACAGTTTAAGGGTGAAGGAAAATGACATATATTATTCTGAAGTGATCTACGCGCACAAAGCACTAACTGCCAAAGTGAATTAGTTTTGCAGAATATGATGCTAGTCTTCTAGCAAACATAAATTTTCTTCTGTTGCTGACTCAGTCAAGGCAATTTTTCTAATTTTAAGGAAGTGGTTTTAAAAAGTAAGATTTTTGTAACTAGGTGCTAATATTATAGATTTACACATAACAGATTAAAAAAAAAAGTTCAACTGTTTTATCCCTGCTTTGTAGACTATGACCTAGTTGGCTGGATTTGCATAACAAGCTAAGACACAAAGAAACCACATTTTGATTTGGCACAATTGAACCCGACCATTATGGCAGAAGATAGAAAGTACAGCTCCACAATAGATGTCACAGGAAGGAGGGACAATGAGTGCAAAGATACCCTTGCATTTTGATACAAATATCTATTACTAAATAGATTTCTCTCTTCTCAAACCATTTTTATTTTATTATATTTACTTCCTATGTTAGATAGACAAAAAAAAGTCCACAGGTGCAGAGAGATAAACTGCAGGTTTGCATGTCCCTTTAGCCTTGACCATCATAACCTGATGGTCTTTGACCTGATTTATAATTCCTACTTAGCCATAGTGGGTATTGGCATAGCATGATGTGCAAATAAAGTCAACTGCTTTTTATTCACCAGTCGTGGTTAAGCAAAGTAGAGTTTAACACAATGTGTGGATTCAGCCAATATGTAACAGAAACAGACCTAGATGTAAATAATTAAATCTGGGCCCTTTGTCTGATTCTAAAGTTATTCTTTCAGATCTTTCAGCACAGTCCCTCCTATTACAGCTAAAGATACAATTGAAATATTCCAGTTGTGCTTGTTCTTGTATACGGCAAAGGAAAATATGAAACATGGCTTCCCTTTTACTGTATTTCTCTCATCCTCATTGAATAAAATGTGCAATCAGAAAACTTGGAGAATTCTTAATTATCAAAAAATAAGCTGAGCAAATAAGAAATGTCCAACTTAAACAGAAGAGCTAAAGAGAGAGAGAAGACTTAAACTCTTACCTCTTGGCTGCTGTTCAGATAATACCAGGAACAATTGCCACAATAGTCTTTATGGTATGTGTAGCGCACAGCTGCCTCAACATATGGTAAGTGCAGAAAACTGTATGGCAACTGGATATGGAAAGTGAGCTTCTTGCACCTGCAGAACCCGGATGCCATGCAAGAAAAGTGCAAGAGTTTTATTTCAGAACGCTCATCCCTGCATGAACAGAAATGAATATAATTTGGCTGAGCTGACATTTTTATCAATGATAGAATGAGAAGAAAAGGTCCCTATCTGAAGTCAAGGAACATGCCTCTTGCCTTCTTTCCTCTACTGTATGTACTCTAAAGATAGGGTTGTGGGGGTTTTTTTTGGTTGTTTTTTTTTTTTTTTTTTTTTTGCTTTTAAGCTTTAGCCTAGTCAGTTCCTTTCAGCCCCCACTGTAGAATCGGTAGGAGATGATAAGGCTGAGCCCGAGAGAAGGGCCAAACACGTCATAAGTCTTGAGTGTCTGCGTGCCTGCAAGAAATCTAAGTCCAGCCCACCTTGAATGCCTTTCTTATTTCCAGCACATTTCCTTTGACCGTTCATTGGAGAGATTCTTGTAGCGAGCTTAAGCTTGCAATAACTCTTTATACTCCTTTGAACTGTCTGAATCTCCTGATTTCCCTGGTGCTTGACAGAATCCAAGAGTGTTATAATCATGTTGTATCTGCATATCCACTTGAAAGGATTCTTCCCTGTGTCAAGTGCTACTAACCTGTCGTATATCAGAAAGTCATCCTTGTTGCCCTTTAGAATTTGCCAGACATCAGGTTCCAGGATTTGTTGCTGGTAAACTGGAATGCCTTTGGGAGCATGTCGTTTGAGCTCCCAATACATTGCCCTGGAGAAAGGGGTCTTTTCATTCACAATCATGAAACTGACATTGGCCATACCATCGCCAGACAATTTCTCTTGCAAGCTGCCGAGGCTGGTTATAAAAAGAGCAATAAATAACATATAGGAAAAGACATGCAGAGATGTCATGCTCAGCCCCCACCCATCACTGATAGTGGAAATTCAGATATGTTGGGCTGCAACTCTCATCATTGGTTAGGAATTATGAGATTTGAAATCCAAGGCATTTGGAGGGATAAATTAGGAAGGATGCTTTGTATAATTTAGGATAAAATCTGTAGAGCAAGAGAAACCACGTTATTTGATGTCTCACTAAATGACCTATTACAGCTGAAATTTTTTAGAGATATCTGACTACACATTATGCAGTACTGAAATTCATGAGTTAAACTATAGCAATTCCTCTTCGTATATCACATCTTGCATATTACAGTCAAGGGCTCATTTGATATCTCGCTGAATAGGAATTGATGGAGAACCAATTTCAACAGTTTAATCAATGTTGCATTCACTTCAGTATTTTCCGCAGAAACCTCAATGCCAAAGACGCGGTTTCTGTTTAGGCTCTTTATAGCTCTTGAAGCAAACAATCTGCTCTATGGGCTGAACTCACCTGGCTGCTTGCTTGAGACAGAACTGTCAGCTGGCCTTCAAAAGAACCACCACTATCACCTGGCCCTCAATTCCAGCCATTGGGTCTATGCCATTTATCTCCCAGAGTGGAGCTGGTTGGCATATTCTGGTTTGGTTCTCAACCACAACCACTTCTGCTATTGTAGTAGCAATCACTAGTCCCAGCAGCAAGGCTTTTGTGGTCGGGGGCAGGTAGCCCATTGCAACCCCCTTCAGCCTACAAGAAAAGACAGCAGATTTAAGGATCTTTTCCAGAAAAATCACTTTCCATGGCATAGCCTATTTTGCACCACAGAAAATAAGCAATGCTATCCCATTATGCAGTGGAGTTAAGTCTTTAGTAATATGTTGAGGGTTGCAGCCTGGATGTTTGAGAGAAAGATCTCAGCAAGCCTTCTATCTCATCTACTATAGCTTTTATCACTTCAGAGTTACCTAAAGCCAGCTGCTCTGTTCATGAAAACATTCACGGACTAAATGTTTTGCAAATCCCTAGTACATACATACGTATCAACTCATCATGTTGTTCCCTTTTAGGCACAGTGCAGAAAAGGAATAAGAAATAGTCTGCAAAAGAAATTAAAGACATGAGATAAAACAAAAGAAAAATGAAATGTATATCTGATTTGTATCACTATTATCTACTACACCTATGGGAGAAAAGGAAAGAGAGAGGTGAGACATGCACCCAACTGGTTATACTAAAAGAAAAAATGAGGACTGAAAAAATATGGAGGAAAATTACATGGGTTGAGGGGAAGGGAAAGAAAATGGTGGTTGGATGTAGCTGATAAAATCGGCAAAAACCTTCTCTAAATAACGTGTACCATAATGTACCATAAGCTTTTTTCATTCATTTCCCAGTAACACGCTGAAAAGCAAAATTGTGGTCTGCCAAAAAGCAGCGCTGCACTTCCCAAATTTTTATTATTTTCACTTGTACCCTTTCAATCATAGCTGAGCTCTCTCCTTTTTGTCCCTGTTATCAATTAAGTTTAGAAGTTACATTTCCATTGATTGAAAAGGATACTCAGGTCTCTAGGAAATAACTCTGGGGCTCTAAGTTATAGACTTGGGTCCCACATGTTTAGCTTAAGAGAAGTCCTGATTTCATGAAAAAAAAAATACACATCAGGACACATCACAGATAACAGCAGTACAACCAAAGAGTGCAAATAAAAAAACCAAATATTTATTTAGATGGCTTTGTCCTGATCCTAGAAAAGAGGCAGTGTAGGAAGATAAAATTCTTTAGCTGAACCAGAGTTCATCCTCTTACTTTGGACAAATTAAACAGTTTTCTTTACCAATAGTCTTCCACTACTATCAGCCAGAAATGTCTGGAGCATTATCAGCAGCTCTATTACCAACAGCAGTGTTGACATACCCAGAAATCATTTATAGTGTTTCCCTCTCCCCATCTCCTTGATACTATACAACAGGTCTGCAATACTTGGCCTAGCATTGGCCTAGCAGTCCCCATTCCCTTCAAACACGCACTTTTCTATCCTCCTGCACTCAAGAAAATAATCTGGTAATAGTAAAAAGGGGCAGGATGTCATACTCAGAAAATACCTATGAAAAAACTTATAATGCCTTCCTGCTGCAGGATTCAAAACCTGTTACACTCTTAACCACTGAAGTCAGTCTGGGGGAAATCCCAAAGGTGCTTTTCAAAAGGCAACTGGACTTTCTTAGTTTTTTTTCTTTCTCTCTCTCTCTTGAAAACGTTTCACTTCTCATCCAAGAAGCTTCTTGGATGAGAAGTGAAATGTTTCCAAGACAAAAAAATAAAATTTAAGAAAGTCCAGTTGCCTTTTGAAAAGCACCTGTGGGACAACCATGACCTGGATGATTGAGAATCTCTGTAGACAGTCGTAGGGGTTCTCAACCTTGGCAACTTTAAGACTTGTAGACTTCAACTCCCAGAATTCCTCAGCCAGCTTTTCTTGGTGGACCAATCGAAAATCCTTAATCATCTGCAGAAATTAAATTCCCCTTCTTCCATATACAGAATTCCAAACAAGGTCATACTCTACCTTTTCCCTGGTGAATGTTGCCGTTGTTCAGCTCCGTCCACTGAGAAAACTGGGATTCTCCTGATGTTGCTCTGATGGGTCTAACCTCCCAACTCTGCACTGACCTCTGGTGTAAGTTAATTTTCATTCCAGATCTCTCCACCCAGAAGGGGCTGGGAGAAAGGAGATAGCTGGGGAAGAGCCAACTACAGGCGTGTCCCTGGAGATATTCATAGCATTAGGCTTTGTACTTACCACAGCCTGTCTCCCAGCTGTACTTGTTTTTCTCTCAGATTTCCTCACATAAGAAATACCGTGCACTGCCAGGCAGTGAATACAAGAAAATATAGCTTCGAAGGAGGGCAGCAGCTAATTCCTAATAATTACCAATATTTATGAAGAAAAACACTAAGACATGTTAACCAGCCTCACCATGAAGCAAAAGAGGTACCTGTTACAAATGTTTCAGAGGAGACAGTTTGTCTAGCAGAAGAACATTGTCAAGTTGACATTTTATTCCAGGTTCAAGTATAAAAATAATCCTGCCTAATGAAATAGTAGAGTGCAAGTAAACTATATGAAAAAGGAAGTCTGTAGGACAGACTTTTTATTATTAAATTTATTGGCCACCCATCTTTCCACAGGGCAACTCTAAAATAAATAAATAAACTGCTTCCTTTGCAGTTCAAGTTCATGTCCACTCTGGCTACTCTGGAAGCAGATATTGAATATTTGCTTGTGCCATATAAGCTGGTACATTTGATATTTATTTTCATAATACATTCAGGTGACCCTATACTAGGTACCATCCTATACTGAAAAGTTGTTTCTTAATGCTCTGAGTGTTGCTTGATACTAAAATCTACTAAAGCTAGAGTTTCTGAAATACTCAAACATTTGTTTGGTTTTGGCAGAGCATTCTAGGTGAACCCAGCAGCCACTATAGTCAGCAATCAATGCTTTATGGTATAGTGCGGTGTGTGATTCCAGTCCAAAGATGGCTAGCTGGTGTGGAGAAACCTATCAAACTGGCCTTGAAACTGAGTTATTTTATTTTTAGAGTACTATTCAACTGAAGAACAACAACATATAAATTAAATAAAGTGAATATTGGTTGTGGTTTGCATGACATGGTTCACCACAAGCTTGGCTACTTGCACAGACAAAACCATTCACCTGCTCCATGTATAGAACTTTAATATAGGTCTGAAACTTGTTCAGATCCCAAAATATGTCATTCTGAATTATTTTAACCTAGTTGAAGCACCAATTTACGATGCTACAGGAATATTATCATGTGAATATAGCCACTGAGGAAGTATTTGTTTTAACGGTCATTTTATTGGGGCTCCTAGATACTAACTTCTGCAACCCACCATGGCTTCAGTCAACTGTGGCTTTTAAATACAGGCAGCCCTCACCCCAGTAATTGGGATCAGGAAGTTCATCACTAAATTACACAGTTTAAGGAGCAATGTCATTGGACTATGTCAACTTACGACGGCAGTTTTGGCAGTCTCAGTTGCCATCAGTTGCAGCGTCCTGTGGTCCCATGATTGCCATTTGCAACTTCCTTAGGGCTTCCCCATTGACTCTGAGTATTGAAAATTCAACTTTGAGAACAACGCAAGTCACAGCTCAGTTTCCCCCCCAAGTGTGCTCACTCAATTCAGTGTATGGTAGGGTCTCTCATCTGCAGACTAAATACTCATTGCCTGCATCCCATCATCTAGAACAGTGGTTCTCAACCTGTGGGTCGGGACCCCATTTGGGATCGAACGACCATTTCACGGGGGTCGCCAAACAATGCAGTCCGCCATTTTTCCCCCCTTTTCCTTAGCTGTGCTACTCCCTTTTATTCTATTGGCTTTTGAAAGCCAATAGAATAGACTCTCTTGAATAGAGTCTAATTCTATTGGCTTTCAAAAGCCAATAGGAATTGTCCAGGCTGTCTCTGCCCTGCTGAGCCCGCCAAAAGTCCCATTCTGCAAACGGTGCTGCACCAGTTGAGTAGTCCTCGACTTACGACCGGTTGAGTAGTCCTCGACTTACGACCAGTTGGGGGGGTGCGGCATTAAAAAGGTTGAGAACCACTGATCTAGAAAGTATTTGCTGTAGTCAGAGTCAAAAGCAATAATGAGTGAATTGTATCAAGCAACAACAGATCCAAAGTGCCTTTAAAAATAAATGCTTAAAGGAGATTAGGGGGTCAGAACTGTGTTACCACCAAGTCTCATAATCCAGAGACTTATGAAAGAAAGCAGTGGCATCTGCTCTTAAAGCAACAACAGGCTCAAAGACTTATTTGTGAAGTAATAGTGCTGATGTCCTAAAACACATTCAGTGATTTTTCTTATCCCTGAAAATAACTTCTACCTATACTTTAAAATATAATAGTTCAGGACTAGGATGTGTGCACAATGAGCATTTCTGATCTTCCCTTCATCTGTAGCTTTCAGAAATACAATCAGATACATGACTTTCATTCCCCCCACCCTTCTGCCTTGCTATATAGCAAGTTTACCAGTAGAACATTCTGAGATTAAAATACTGGTAGCTCTCAATTTATAACCATAATTGGAACCAGAATCTCCGTTGCTAAGCAAGGCAATTAAGTGAATCATGCCCATATGTATGACTTTTTTCTATGGTTGGTAAGTGAATCACTGCAGTTATTAAGTGAGTCATGGGATTATTAAGTGAATTCAGATTTCCCCCATTGACTGCTTGTCAGAAGCTGAGAAAGTCACGAATGACAATATATGGTGCTGGAACACTGCAATCGTCTAAATCAGGGGTCTGCAACCTTGACAACTTTAAGACTTGTGGACGTCAGCTCCCAGAATTCCTCAACCAGCAATGCTGGCTGAGGAATTCTGGGAGCTGAAGTCCACAAATCTTAATTGGCAAGGTTGCAGACCCCTGGTCTAAATATATACTGGTTGCCAAGCGCTCTAATTTTGATCACATGACTGTGGGGAATGTGACGATTGTGTGAGGACTGGTCATATGTCATTTTTTCCAATGCTGCTGTAACTCGTAACAGCTGCTAAATGACATGGTAAATCCAGGACTAACCTGTGTTCGGATTCAGCTGCAGATCATGAGAATGACCACCAGATGGTAGCAGAGTACCAAAATCTCTCTTTGCTGCCATCTAGTAACTGTGGGGTTTTTTTTTTTTTTTTACAGTCCTCGGACGTTCATCATTACATTCCTCGTCCGAGGTCTAAACCCAGAAGGAATACGGACACCTGTCTTTTAAAATTAACTTTCAAATTTAAAAAAATACAAGCCAGTCTCTTCCCAGAGAGACAGCCGCATGCCTTGCCTCACACAGCGCCTCATTCTTTCTGTTTTCCAACTGAAAAGAAGGGGCGGGGGGGGGAGCTTAGTGGTAAAGCTCGTCCTAGCTCTGGATTATCCAAATCCTGTAAAATGCGGTGCAACTGCCTTTAGGCGCAATCTCATACTCGAACATCTTCCGCTTCCGTCCGTGCTGTGGAGCTGCTACTTTAACGTCAAGGTCGTGAGAAAGTTGGTGTTTTGCTGTGTTCTGCCCCACCACCACCGTTATGCATTCATTCCCGGCTGGAAGGAGAGAGAATAATAATACGGCGGGAGAAATAAGGAGTTCAAATCAGGTGAGAGGCGAGGGAGTAGATGCATGAAATCTGCCGGGCAGCAGCAGATGGAATCAGCACGCGGCAGGGGAAAAAGAGGAAATATTCACGCTGCCGAGTAAAAGATTATGAGTAAAAAAAAAAAAAAAGCAACCCATGTTTTTTCAAGTGAGAATGAGGAGTTGGGAGTGGGATGGTGTGGATAAAACGTGCCTCTTAGATTTATTGCAGGGGGGGAAAAAGATCCTCTCTCCTTTTTGCAACTTGTTCTCTTGAGAAAACGTGGTTTTATTTTTAAAGATAAAGGAGCAGGTATTGGAAGTATTTTAAAATGCAACGTTTCATCTTTCATCTCTTCTACGGATTATTCTAAGCAACTTAAAAGACAACATGCTTGTCGAAGAAAATTCTTCTTTTTAAAGGAGCAGTTTGTATGTATTTCTTATGTGAGTAAGCCCAGAACCTGTTTTCCTTAAACAGTCAAAGAAATGGTAACTCTAAAGCAGTGGTTCTCAACCTTTTTAATGCCGCGACCCCAACCGATCGTAAGTCGAGGACTACCCAAGCGGTCATAAGTCAAGGACTACCCAACCGGTTGTAAGTTGAGGACTACCCAACTGGTCGTAAGTCGAGGACTTTCCCTGCCTGGGAGCGCCGCACATGCATGGTGCCGCCCCCTGCGCCAGCCGAGGCGTAGCTGGCTAGGGGCAGCGATGGCGCAGGGCGACCACTGGCTGGGCCACCAGCTGGCCCAGCCCAAGGGAGGTAAGGCACCTGCTGGGCCCCACGTGTGCCAGCAACCTTTCCTGTGCCTGCTGGCTCCCACCTCCCACCCCGGCCCTCTTTTACTTACATTTTTAGTAGTTGCTCAGCAGGGAGGGGTGGAAGCTTCCAGACAGCTCGCCTTCGCTGCAGACAACTTGCAGCACCATTTGCAGACTGGGGCTTTTGGCGGGCTCAGCAGGGCAGAGACAGCCTGGACAATTCCTATTGGCTTTTGAAAGCCAATAGAATTAGACTCTATTCAAGATAGTCTATTCTATTGGCTTTCAAAAGGGAGTAGCACAGCTAAGGAAAAGGGGGAAAAAATGGCGGACTGCGTTGTTTGGCGACCCCCGTGAAATGGTCATTCGACCCCAAATGGGGTCGCGACCCACAGGAAAGAAAGAAAGGAAACCAACATCGAGTAATATGATCAAATAAAAGTAATATTTAAAATGGCAATTTTACTCCACTGTGGCAGGACAGAGTCACTCATCACTGCCCACTTCTTGGGGAGAGCTGCTTGAAGTTGACTGTGTTAACTCTTTTGGAACAATTACCAAAAGCCCACACTAAAGTCTACATTTTTGGTTTTTGTATCTGAAGAAAATGTAACTGTAGGAGAGGAAGCTGCAAAACCAAGAAGGTAGCCATGGAAGACCAGTGTCTCGATGAGTCTAAGATGGTCAGGAGGTAACATGATGTGAGAAACTTCCAAACTAGGGGTCTTCAAACTTGGCCCTTTTATGACTTGTGGACTTCAACTCCCAGAATTCCACAGGAATTCTGTGGAGTTTAAGTCCACAAGTCATAAAAGGGCCAAGTTTGAAGACCCCTGTTCCAAACCAACCATCTGGCCCTCAAGCACTACAGGTTCAACATTTCAGTCAAAAAAATTATCTTCAGTGCAATTTCAGATATATGAATCTGAACAAGAAATCAGTTGGCTCAGCCACAGAACATGGTGGTATGAGATCACATAACTCTGGACTGCGTAAAGGGATCCTATAGGACAGCGGTCTTCAAACTTGGCCTCTTTCTGACTTGTGGACTTCAACTCCCGGAATTCCTCAGCCAGCGTGCCTGGCTAAGGAATTCTGGGAGTTGAAGTCCACAAGTTATAAAAGGGCCAGGTTTGAAGACCCCTGCTGTAGGATGTGAATCTATAGTAGAAAGTCCAATATTTGCTTTAAGATACATAGCACGAGATCATGTAGCTCTAACTGATTCTGGAGCGGTGCAAAGGCTTCTTACGAAAACCCTCAGTTGTGATGAATAAAATGGTTTCAACAGAGATAAATATCTTCACTTATATACAAATGTGAAGTAAGATTGTAGGATGGCTAAAAATAGTAGTGGAGATATGAAATGAACCTAACAAATAAAATGGAGGTTACGCCCTTTTCCTCCCTGTGTTTTAGAAGAGAGCAGGGCCAAACCCAGTTCATCAATGGCCTAATTCCATAGAAGCCTCCTCACCAGCTCGCAGCACAGTCTAAAGGCAACCTTAGCAACAAAATTGCAAAACTGCAACTTTTCATCCTTTATCAGCTGATGACCTCACTATTCCATCTTCCTTTGCCTAATAATAAAATTAATCCCAGTTACGCTGATAAGGACCAATCAGGCTCGTAGGATTTCCTGTCTTGTAGCCTCCAACTTGTATAAAAACCTTCGCTTTCCCATTGTTCAAAGTCCCTCTTTCTTGTAAAGCAGGCATCCATGCTTGGTTCTTCTCTTTAGTGTTATGTTCCTTCTAGATGGGATCCGTGACAAAGTGTACTTTTAAAGACGATAAACTCTACAATCATATTAATGTTTTTCATATTGTCATATATAAAAATGTACCATATCACTGCACTGAAAAAGTGGCAGGTGGCTTTGTTGAAAGGCTTCTGTGCATATGCTCGGAAGCGCTCTTGTTTAATAACTGCCCAGGGTAGATGTGATGGCAATGTGTGTGTAGCTCTGTGCTTTTGAATTTCTTTGGCTGCTTGGGGTGGGCCCGAGTGGTGTAAATATCCACTCTGTAGGAGCCAAGTAACTTTGTTCATAGCTGCTGTTATAGTTTTGCTGTTTCTATGTTTCACCAATTCTGCGTTCTATTATCTCTAATGCCCTTTTCCTCTCCTTTTCTGAGTGGGAATATTCTGAGACAGGACTACAAAGTGAACAAAGTGAATTTAAGATATATGTTTTCTTTATTGTGCTTGAAAACAGAATGTGGCTGCATCCTAAAGAATGGAAACTGAATTGCTGGTTTTGGCAGGACAGAATGCCTGGACAAGTTCTTGTAGTTTTCTTGGCAAGGTTAATTGGAAAGTTTGCCATTGTCTGCTTCTAGGACTGAGACAGAAGGATTGGGCCAAGGTCAATCAGCTAGCTTTGTGCCTAAGGTGGGATTAGAACTCTTGTCTCTTGGTTTCTAGCCTGATGCCTTAACCACTACACCAAACGGTCTCTTCCTATGAAATCTGAGAACCTTTCATTGGCGCAATAGAATAGGACCCAGTTTCCATTCAGGAATGGTCTGCCACTCCTACCTCCCCCCCCCATCTTAAGATATTGATCTGGATGTTTTCTTCTTGTTTTGTAGATTTAATAGCAAAAGGATGTGTTGCAACTAACCAACCACAAGTTTCACAATGTCTGCTGTTCTGAAGCGGTTGTGTTACATTGGATTCCATGTTCTTCAGGGTCAACAGCTGGCCAGTCACCTGGTACAAAGGTTTGGCTTTGAACTGTTTGCTATACGGGAAGCAGAGAGGAGGAGGCAGCAGGCTTTCCGAAGAGGAGATGCTGTTTTTGTTGTCAATGAAGAGCAGGAGCTGACTGGGAAAAACTTTTTGTCTTCAGATTTACCTTCAGACTGCTGTAAGCATAAAGGAATCCTGTATGATGTGAACCTGCAGTACAGAGTCAGTACAGCGTCCAATATTTGCTTTGAGGTAGACGATGTCCCTGGCATCTCCCGAAATCTACAAGAGAAAGGCTGCAAGATCCTTATTCCTCCCTCCACTGAAGCAGATGAAAATGGCTCTGTTACTTACTCTGTAGTGAGATCCATTGTGGGCAACGTAAGCCATACTCTTCTTGACCGATCCCAGTATGGTGGGCCATTCTTGCCTGGTTTCTATGAAGTTGAGGTTGCCCCCAAGAAATGCCAGAAGGAGAAGGAGACCGTGCATTTTGACCACATCACCTATGCCTGTCTGCAAGGTAGCTCACAGGCTGTGCTGGACTGGTACAAAAACTGTTTTGGTTTCCAGCGCTTCTTCATCCACCAGCAAGATGACGCTGTAGAAGGCTTTCGAATTCAGGGGGAAGACATGGGCCTTCTTCTTACCGCCATGCAATACAGTGATGATCGACTGTCACTCTTTGAGCATGATTGTAAATTTGTTCTGGCTGAGTCGCTGCCAACGCAAAGGATGGGCCAGGTGGACACTTTCCTTCAGCAGCATGAAGGCGCTGGCATCCAGCATGTGGCCCTTCATACCACAGACATTGTAAGTACTGCTGCAGCCATGGCAAAGTCAGGAGTAAGCTTTTTTAAACCACCAGTATCATATTACAATGAGAAAAGCAAAGAGAAGGAGATACAGCAAGTTGGGCAAGATCTTCAGCTCCTGAAAGACTACGGCATCCTTCTTGATGCGGTAATAGACAACGAAGGACAGGATGATAGCCCTAGCATGCTTGAGAAGCAATATCTGATGCAGATCTTCACTAAACCTCTTTTTACAGAAGAGACCTTTTTCATAGAGCTCATTGAACGCCATGGAGCTGCAGGTTTCGGCGAGAGAAATGTCCGTGCGCTTTGGAAGTCTGTACAGGATTATATGGATCGGCAGCAAGGACCCACTCTACTTGAGAACGAAGCGTGACAAAATGTTTATTTTGTTCTGCTCAGAGGCGCCTTGAACTGTGAGATGGGCCCCAAACAAATTTGATAAATAAATTATAGCTAAACAATATAGTGCTGCCTCAGATTTGTTAACACAGGATTAATGCCCATGTTAGAACAAAGCATATGGACTGATTTGGTTTAAAGGTGTACTTTCAAAATTGATTTTGCAATCAGTGCTGGCTTGCATTAAAAAGTATCCAAGTGAGCTGGAGGCCATCTGATGCATTATTTGATGAGAACTGAAACCTTACTGTAGCAAAGTTGTGACAATAACCACATCTGAAAGCATGTAGGTTTTTGCCTTGCTAGCTGAACTACTGAACTGGTAATTGATTTTTCCCTAACAAAACACAAAGGCCTGAAGGAATGGCTGTTATATTTTTCCTAGGAAGAGAGAAATGCTCTCTGTATTAGAATAAGTGACTGCTATCTACAGAAACCTCCTACCCCAGTCTTTGGGACCAAGGAGTTCAAATCTGAAAAGGTACAAGATCCCTATTGCTTAGCTACATTACTCTTAGTGAAGAAAATTACCAAGTTAGGTAACAAAAAGTCTCAGTGAAAACAACCAAGTTCTGAAGCCATCAAGAGCAAACTTTGGACTACATATTCTCTACTACTGGAAGAAAATCAGTTCTCCCTGTTCTTACTTACTTGCATCCACCAACTGTAGTGTTAACTGGACAAACAGGAGGCAAGAGTATCTGTTAGCCACTGTCTCATGAATCAGGACATCTTTTTAAATACCAGAACATGGAAACCACAGGGAATCTTTAGCATGGATCCAAGCATCTATACTGATGGAAAGTAGCTACTGTACTATTTACACTCCTAAAAAGTGAAAAGAACCCGACTTACTCATTATCTAATATAAAGAACTGTGTATAAATATTGCGATTCTCAAAACATATTGCTAATTAATATACGTCCAAAGTTGGCTCAGTAGTTTGGTAGAAGAGCCCTTACTTGAGAATCCATTGAATATGAAGAGATTTTCTCAGTTCATTTCTTTAGCTGTTACTGAAAAGTATCCATGGTTTAATTAATTTAGTGGTTACATCTATTAATGAAGCGTCTGTCACGTCCACTTGCTGTTACTGAATGCTACAGCTAGAAAAGTGGTGGTGAAGTGGTAACTGCTCTCCCTGTATGTTTTCCTGCTCACAAATATCTACCATAATCTATTTCTTGTCCAAATATAGTTCTATCTGTTGGATGTTCTTGAATAGCACAGTTATGTTTCTCCTTGCTAGAAGAAGTGAAACAAATCACCTTAAAATACAGAAAGGCTTATTAACTCTATACACTATATCTTGATTTAAGAATCAGGGGGATAAATTCACTTTTCAACACTTCACTCTCATAAATTTAGTACGTTTTGGGGAAACAGCTAAAAATGGAAGCTCACTAAGTTTTTTTTTAATAAACAATCATTAAAAGTTTTATTAGAGAAACCACAGTTATAAAACAAGACATTTCAAGCATTAAAATAATTGATCATACAGAAAAATGGCACGCAGTACAATTGTAGAATGTAGGCAAACTGCAATTATTCAGTTACTTGTTCCCAAAAGAATCTGGCTCTAATAAAAAAAAAAAACTTTATCCTGCTTTTGCCATATTTCTTTCAATGTGCCATATTACAAAAAAAAAATGGTAGTTGGTCTCTTTCTTTGGCATATCTATAGCTGCAACTCAGATTGGGGTTGGGCATGCAGTGCTAAGAGCAGTGCTTATTTAATCATTTAGCAAATGAGTAGGAAATCAAATGACAACAGGATATGTTTCACAGCACTGTTTCAGTATCTCACATACTGGGCAGACACATCTCACTTCATGGCTAGAGGACCCTATTCCCAGGCCCTTCAAAAGATGATTGACCCAGATTTCAAAGTACTGTACAAGAATATTGGGAGTGCAAAGATGTCCACTTTTCATGTTTTTTCTATACTGAGCTATTGAGATCAGCTCTAAGAAACGAATGCAAAGAAAGCAGCTTCTTGGAAGAACTAGTCTGTTCTTTAGGCTTTAATTGGCTGGTCCTGAGAGAGTCCCGTTTCTTCTTCTTCACAGCCTGTACAATGATACAAAGGTAGAGATTTAACAGAAAAGACCCTGCAAACAGTCACCTATTTCATCCTCTCCCACCTTATCCTGTAAGCCAGTGTTCCCCAATTTTTCCGGGGTGGCAGCCGAAGGGGGGGAGAGGGGATGGTTTTGTGTGAAGGCTGCGAGTGCCTTCACACATGCACAGATTCATTTGTGTGAGGGCTGTGAGTGCCAGCATCCGCCACCTCGCGTGAGTGCAGCTATGAGCGCACCCACTGCTGACACTGCCTGGTTCTGAATGGGCCATGGCCAGGGGTTAGGGACCCCTGGTGAAAGCACTACTGTGATAAGTACCTTGGCCAAGCACAAGTCAATCACTGACCAATTTGGGGACTTACTTTAAAAAGGGGCAAGAGACTAAGAATAGGCAGCTAAACAAGGCATGAGCAAAAGCTGCTTGGTTCTATAAAAAGATAAACTCACTTGGGCATCGTTGATTCTACAGCTCCATTTTTCATAAACTCTGAAGACCTAAAAAAGAACATAGAAACTATACTCAAATAACTGCAGGACCATTTTTAATGTGGATAGTATGTGCCAATGCTCAGCCTATATATATATAGCAAGACTAAAAAAGGGCATGGGACTAAGCAAGTTCTGTTCTCAGGAACCCTGTACATCTGTTTCCATTTTGTAGATGCTCATATATTGTGCAGGAATAGATTGAGAAATCAGTTAAATATTTGCAAATGTATCAATGATTAGAAATCTTGACATAGCTACACATGAATTTATCAACTCTATTGCAGAACGTAAGAGACATCTATGCAGCCCCAAGTTGTTACACTGACAGGCTGAGAGTCTGCACAGATTTGGTTCTAATTCCACAGAGACATGGGGAGACAGGATGGCTTCTGTTTCTGTGCACTGAAGTCTTCTATCAACATTCCTTGGAAGCACATTGTCTGAACAATGAAGCAAATTGCATTCATGTGAAATGAAACAATTGCAATTGTTAAGTCTACCCTCTGCCATAAATCTCACTGGGTGTTTCTGGGCCAATCGGTATCTCAAGGGAGGAGGTTGGGAGAGAAGAAAATGGATAACTGATTGCTACATAAGTTGTTACGCATTCGTACAGGAAAGGCAAAATACAAATAGAACACATTTACCTACATATTGTTTCCTCGCATACTACTTTTTAGAGATTTGCAAAGAATCCACTGCAAAAGTGTTTAAATCTCAGATTTTCAGTACCTTTTTCATAGCTGTGGAGATGGCTGATAACTGCAATTCTGTTTTGGTCACCCATCGGAATGCTGGCAGTTCCACATTCCTATGCCAATTTTCTTCATCTTTGTCCACATTCAAAAAATAGATCACATATGTTTGGCGGATGTGGGAGAAGATATGGAGAACCTGGGGAGGGAAAGATGGATATATGGGTGGGTGGATGGATCCTGTTAACTCAGTATTATCATGGGCAGAAGGAAGACACTGAATGGCAGAGACAGAAACTAAATGCCCCAAGGAGAGGGATCCTTGGAGTTCTTTTTTACTCTTCCCTGCTTTAAGACAAGGTGATGCAGGGATATGATAGCTGGATTTAGGAGCAAAGATATGGAAAAAAAATATTCTGCTGCATTGTTATAACAATTTGGATAATGGCTAAAATTGAAATTAAGATCAATATTTTTGCAAACTTGCAAGTTTGAAAAGTCTTAATAAGACAATAATAAACTGATAAATTTTGATGCCCACATTTCTGGGGGAACTAATGTCATTGCTCTGTAGCTATGTTTGCAACCTTGGCTAATTTCAATATCAAACAACCATTTCCCAAGTGTAATACATTCATCTTGGGTCCATGCAACTACTCTACTCTAAAACTTTACTATAATTGTAAATAGCAATAGAAATTCTAATGCTAATGCTACCCCAAAATGAACTGGGCTGAAGATCGAAGACACAGCGAAAATATGGGAGAAACTTGTTGGAAAACAATCAGCTAACACTGGCTGATTATAAGAGCATTACCAATTCCTTTCTGGGATCCAATTTACCTCTCCAACATACTGTAGTTGCCTCGGTGCCAAGTCATTGCCAAGGGAGGCTAGAAGGTGATCTGCCAGAATCACTTTCTGTTGCTTTTCCTGCCCTTGTTCAAGGAGGATGCTAGGAAACTCCCACAATCCAGCTAGCAGTCCTACAAGAAAATGTCTAATCAGTGCAATTTAATATAACACCATGGTTACATGTGTGAACTTGAACTTTCTGCTTCAAAGGAAAAAAGCTACTGAAATGCTGCACACTTTCAGCTAAAACATCATCTCTACAGTAACTATGTAAGGAATGAGTATTCTGTTAAAGGCAGTCTTTCCCTCACATAGGTCGAGGAATTCAATACATTTTGTTATTCAAATGTCTTCTTAATGAGAATGGAAAAACATGACATTAATCAAAAGATGCTTGGGCCCAGACCACTGGGTAGTACTCTGGATTAGACACACAAATAAATCAGCTCTTGGTTCAGAACTACAGATGCTCACATATTTGTAGTTTCTTATTCAAAATTATCAAGATAAAATTGGCTTCTTATCCTACGAAAAGCCCCTAAACACCATCAGAGAAAAAAAAAACCTTCCTGGTAATTTCTTCTTTTTTTAAAAAAAAATAGACAAAAAGAGACTTCATGAGCAAGATCCCGATTTCTGTAACTGCTAGAGAACTAGAGCTAACATTAGCTGACAATGCTTCTTAGCCTTCTTTGGTTTCTTCCTCAGCTGAGTTACCTGAGGTGGGCCTCCTCACAAGAAAGTACTCTGGATTCCCATCACTGCATCTCCTCTCTAGCACGCATGTGGCTGTGTGTTCTATTCTGGGCTGCTTCTTGGTAGCTTTTCTTGGGAAATTAGTGACACCAAGGCTGGGCTCCCATGGTACTGAAGGAGGCAGGCAGAGGGAACAGCTTCCTGAGACAGCAGCTGATAATGAGAAGGAAGCAGCAGGCGATCAGGCAAACTCTGAAATGCTGAGGGTAGTAGGAGCAGTGCTTCATTATAATCTATTTTCATGTCCATCTAGGACAGGAAGGCTTGGCTGGACAAGAAGAACCACAGTTCTTCTGAACCTGCCTGTCCCATGGTGACAAAGCTCAACCCACCTCCAATTCTTCCTTCCCAAGGAAGCCTTGAAAGCCTAAATCAATAAACATAACAGAATACATTTCAAATAGCAATATTAACAAGTATAAAATAAACATTACACAAGGATGTTATTTTTTTATCCATTTGCCATGACCTTCAGATCAAAGACGACCTCAATTTAAAGATGCAAAATTTCCAAACAAGTAGGCTCTTTAGAAGCATACCCCACATTCAATCCACTTTTTCCCACAAGGACATTGCCAAAGCCTTAACAATGAAGACAAAAATACAATTTATTTTGAGGGATTAAACCAGCTGATTTGAGAGTATGACCAAAATTCTGCCCCTCCTTTTTATGCAACCATCAGGAAAACGAAGCAATGTCTGTGGAAAGAGGTTAGTTGGGAATGAAGTTGTGAGAGTCTTCCTCACTTTTATAAAACCTTAAATTCTCATTCTCAGTGTAAACAACTATCCTGGTAATATAAATTCTTATTAGCACTTACCACATTCCTCCATATCTAGCACAGGGAGACTTTTAGAAGCAGGTTTTCCGAACAGTCTCTTGGTGGAATTTAACCGATCCTTTTCCACCTACAAAAGATAAAGGCTTTTTGTACTGATAAAAGTGTAGGAAAAGGGTGCAGATGACAACAGGGAGAGACCTGTCTGGAAGGATACCAAGACCTGCCTATTTAAGGGTTCAATTAATCATGATTCCAACTAAAGATTAAGCCAGGTGAAAAATTGGACTGCAAGGTTTGTTATGCAGCAGCCTCTCTTGTACAAATTTTTGTAGTAAATAAGGCGCAAACTTCAATTTTTAGAACTTCTCAGGTGAAACATGGACACTAATCTCACAATTGATACAAAAGTTATGATGGTGCAAAAAGCCATGGAAAGAAACAAGACAAGATAGAAAGACCTGCACATGGATTACAGAACAAATGAAAGTATATGACATCATGAAGAGAGTAAAAGAATTGAAATGGAAATGGGCTGGTCACATAGCAAGAAGAACTGATGGCAAGTGGACCAACTTGATAATGGAATGGATCCCACTTGATAAAAAGCATCCACAAAAGAGACCTAAAACAAGATGGATCGACAACATCAACAAGTATTGCGGGCCCAATTGGCAAAAGAAAGCTCAGGACTGTATTGGTTGGAAACATGCAGAAGAGGCCTTCATCCTGCAGTGGATAGACAATGGCTAAAATGATGATGGCTATTACTAAGAATTCTGGGAGTTGACTTCCATTCAACTAGAGCAGTGATGGTGAACCTTTTAGAGACCGAGTGCCCAAACTGCAACCCAAAACCCACTTATGCATCGTCAGGTGCCGGGTGGGTGTGGGCCATTGGGTGGGTGTGGGCCATTGGGTGGGCGTGGCTGCGGTGGTAACAGCAGACTGGGTGGAACTAAAAAGTTCAATCAATCAATTCCAACTTTGCAAGATCTTTTTTTCCCGCTAGAAGTTGAAATTGGCTGATTGAGTGAACCTTTTTTTTTGTACACGGCGGCGGAGGCCTAAAGTGAAAAGGTTTTATAAAACCCAGCTGAAGGCCTAGGACTGGGGCGACGGTGCGCGTGCCCACAGAGAGGGCTCTGAGTGCCACCTCTGGCACCCGTGCCATAGGTTCGCCACCACTGAACTAGAGTATTCTCTGATTGGAGAAGGTAGTCAGCACTTAAAAAAAAAGAGTTGTAGTAAAATTAGTATGTGGAAGAGATTGTGAAAAATAATTTTCATTCTGATAAGAACAAATATAACAAAGCCTCACTGGGTCAACATTAGGCTAACAATGCAAGCCTATCCAAATGCATTCAAAAGTAAATCTAAGATCTTGAAGAATGACTTATTTCTGAATATATATGCATTAGGTTACAACTTTAATCATATTAAAGCAATATGATGCTGTTCAAGTATATTAAGACTACAACTTCCCAAATTCCCAGTCTACAGAGGAAGGCTGTAGTCCCTCTCAACCTCAAGATTCATTTGTGATCCTATTTATTATCTTCCTGGAATCTTCACATATTCCATACATGTATGTCCATATGGTATTTTAGTTTAAGATACAAAGTCAGTGCACCACATCCCACAAAAGAACAAAGCCTCCCTCATATCATTTTTGCATATCTGGGTAGAACATTCAAACAAACAGGTTGTCCTTACTTTATGGAGACCTCTGCAGTGCTGTTTCACTGGACATTCCGTGCATAATGGGGTCTTGGGAGTACACACTGTTGCACCCAATTCCATCATTGCTTGATTAAAGTCACCAGGATGGGTCTGGTCAACCAGAGTGTTGGCTAACACCCTAAGAACAATAGCCGTTATTCATTAATGCTATACTGTAGGGGAGGAATTCAAGTTAGAAAAAGATATGATTCACTTATTCAAATGAGTCTCCTGCTATTCCACAAAGTGCATTGCATACAATTTGGCATAACATGAGACAACCCTGCACTCTATGGAATGGCCGATACACAATTAAATTCATGTTTTTTTCATGAACTAGAAACTACTAAACCAATAAAAAATGTAGTAACAAGTACCACATTAAAAATTATGTGTAGTTTTTTCTTCTTAAAGCTGAGAACATTATATACTTTATTTTGTTATGTATGCAGAATCTTAAGTATACCAAAGCCCTGACTTTTCCCATTACAACCAAGATTTCCCCACAACTTTCCCTAAATCAAAAAACACCACCAAATCTTCTTTCTCCATGATGTATGCCATCATTTAGAGCAGGAGTGTCAAACTGCCGGCCCGTAGGCCAGACGCGTCATGTGGAAGCCACGCCTACCCCATTGCCGGCAATGGCAAAACCATCCCGATATGTTGCGTGACATCACATGACATCGCGAGTTTGACATGCCTGATTTAGAGCATGTATGATGCAGCCCAAATACTACATTGTAATCTGCTTTCTAGGAAATGACATCTTATTTCATTATTCATTACTGTCATTGTTAAGTCTTTGCAGGTACAGGTAGTCCTCGATATTTCCACAGTTCATTTAGTGATCATTCAAAGTTACGACACTGAAAAAAGTGACTTATGATTTATCACACTTATAACCATCGCAGCATCCCCGTGGTCACGGGATCAAAATTCAGAGGCTTGGCAACTGACTCATATTTATGACAGTTGCAGTGTCCCCAGGTCCTATGATCCCCTTTTGCGATCTTCTGACAAGCAAAGTTAAGGGGGAAACCAGGTTCACTTAATAACTGTGTTCCAGCTTAACAACTGCAGTGATTCACTTAACAAAAGTGGCAAGAAAGGTTGTAAAATGGGACAAAATTCGTTTAACAACTGTTTGGCTAAACAATAGAAATTTTGGGCTCAATTATGGTCATAAGACAAGGACAATCTGTATTAACATTAACCATTACCTGTAAAACCTCTATAAATTCTTCCTCTGAAATAGAGTCAGACATTAGTTTACTATTTTAGAGTACTTTGGACCTAAAATATTAATACGATCTTATATAACTTCACATTTTTTTTATTTTAGTACCGTATTTTCTGGCGTATAAGACGACTCGGCATATAAGACGACCCCCGACTTCAGAGACGATTTGCATGTTTAGAAAGCCGTCTTATACGCCGGAAAATACGGTAACTGCAGGATGGGTTGTAAGAAAAATCTGATATAGGCTATCCTCATCTTACAACCATTCATTTAAAACCATTTGAAGTTGCAATGGCACTGAAAAAAGTGACTTGCAACTGGTCATATTTGTGACCTTTGCAGCATCCCGACAGTTGCAATTGCGATTTGGGTGCTTGGCAACCAGTATGTATTTGCAACGGTTGCACCATCCTGTGGTCACCTGACCGCCATTTGCGACTTTTCCAGCCAACTTCCAACAAGTAAAACCAATGGGGAAGCTGGATTCATTTAGTGACTGTATGATTCACTTAACAACTATGGCAAAAAATTTGTATAATTGGGCACGATTCTCTTAACAACTGCATCACTTAGTGACCCAAGTTCAGGTCCCAATTATAGTTGTAAATTTGAGACTACCTGTATGAATGCTAATTGTTCAGCAAGTATCTTATCTTTTCATTCCATTCTGGAAAAGTCTAACATGTTAACAAGACATGACAGACAAAACTTATTACTAAGATATTAAATGTCCTAATACTTGTCTAAAATATTAGAGATAGTTATAACCCCACGTATCTTGTGAATATAAAAATTTTGATTTATTATGCTTCCGACTTCAAGTCCAAGGCAATGGCTATGGGGAAGGATGTGCAAATAAGCACCTCTGTTAAATAAAGAATAGAGAAAAGCTTATTTTGTTTAGAAACAATTATCTGATTGTAAGCCACAGGAAAATCTGGCCAACAAATATCTGCATTGAGCCCAAGTTTAAAAAGTTACATAGAAATGAATGAGAAATATATACTCTTCCTTTATAGAATCTGATGGCATAAACACATCATTTTAAGGATCTTTCATTTCATTATTTAAATAAGGATTTTGAAATCTCATTGTTGTGGACAAATTTTGAAAACATGCAGTGTCCTGGAAATTCAGCTATCACTGCAAGCACTATTTTTACATATGCTATCATCATTCTTTATAGCCTCTATTCATTTCTCAGCATATTGTTTAATTCAATCCTAAATGATCCTTGTGAGATTTATATCTTGCTTCTTCTGCAGAAACTCAAGGCAGCTGCAATTGGATTTCTCATTTCATCCAACAGGAATCTGGTGAGGTATGCTGGACAGAGACCTCTAAGCCCTCTTGACTTCAAAGGGACTGCTTACATGCAAAGCACTGCATTCTCTATTGTATGAATTATTGCTTTATAAATCTTAGTGCCTTGTAGGAATGACAGTATTTCCTTACCAGAGTGTGTCTGCAACAGCTGAATTGGCAGGGTCAGCACCAATGGCTCTTGTGCGACACAAAACTCGAGTCACGTTCCCATCTACCACTCCTGTCACCTGTGTATTTTGAACAAAAACCTACTGGTTCATATACTTGAGAAAACTTGTGTTCAGGAACAAATGAGAGAGAAAGTCAGGCGCTGAATGATAATGAAAGGCACCTGCAATCTGTCTAAATCAACTTTATGAATTTGAGGGCACTACAGTGCAATAACTAAAAAGCAGTTAAAATCCTCCCCCTCTCAGGAAATTACTTGATAGTCCTAAATAAACTAAACTCATTCAGTTTTGGGGCCTCTATTTACAAAATGAGGGATGATATTATTACTGAGCTTCCTTACAGGGCTGCTGTACAGGGTTAAAATTAGAAAACAAACACAAAACCATATGAATACAATTTGAGAGTATATATCAAAGAAATGCCTCTCCCCAATTTGATAAATTAGTATTTCACCCTTCCTTCCTATTCTTTCTTTCAATGATTCCCCACAATGAGGCAGAATGGGCTGAGATACATCTGGCTCAAAATCATCCAACAAGCTTTTATGCTTGAGAGATTTCAATGAGTCTTCTAAACATACTCATGAGCACAGTACCCTACAGGCTGTGTGCAGATTTGCTTTGTCATCATAGATATCTAGATGTCTGTTCCACCTTCCATGAAGGGAAGAAGATTGTTACAAGGGAGAGGGCCTTTTCAGTTGGGCCTCCAGGTTATGGAAACTCATCCCCAGGGAAACACACTTGTTTGCAACTGATATATTTTCAACGCCAGGCTAAGACTGACTGTTCTTCCTTCCAAGCATTTTACAGTTCATGTAGACATCAGGAGCTAAGCTAGAATAAAAAGATTTATATTTATGTCTGTGCATGCACGTGGGGTGTTATAACAGTGTTCCAATATCTCAGGGGTTGCCACAAAGAAGAGGGAGTCAAGCTATTCTCCAAAGCACCTGAGGGTAGGACAAGAAACAATGGATAGAAACAAATCAAGGAGAGACGCAACCTAGAACTAAGAAGCAATTTTCTGACAGTTAGAACAATTAATCAGTGGAACAACTTGCCTCCAGAAATTGTGAATGCTCCAACACTGGAAGTTTTTAAGAAGAGACTGGACAGCCATTTGTCTGAAATGGTAAAGGGTTTCCTGCCTGAGCAGGGGGTTGGACTAGATGACCTCCAAAGTCTATTCTGCTCTGCTCTGCTCTGCTCTGCTCTGCTTTGCTCTATTCTATTCTATTCTATTCTATTCTATTCTATTCTATTCCATTCCATTCCATTCCATTCCATTCCATTCCATTCTATTCTAATATATGATAGACCTTTCCTGTGCTACTTATTTTATTGTTTGCATTATTTTAATTTTGTAGTAATTTTGTGATTGGTTAAAAGAATCTCAATTATTGGATGTCACAGATATTACTAATTACTAATGTATACCATAAAACTTACATAAATAGAGCCATCCTTTCTAAAAAATAAAAGCACGAAGAATAGCTTCCATTTTACTGGTTCTACTCCATCCTACTGGAAAACATTTCATCTTTTCAATGGGCCCTTCCAGCAAGGGGAGATGCCTTTTTTTGGGTCTCTAAACACATAAACAGGATCAAAATAGAAGCCTAAAGCTGCAAAAGGGCAATTAGATAGGAGATGTTTGGAGAGCTGGGAGTGACCATTTTTACAAAACATAGATGCCCATGCTATCTTCCATATGCACCCTAAAGCAAAGTTAAACACCCAGAATGATGGCCTTGTTACCTGGCCAAATGCTATGGAGGCAATAGCTCCTGCAGTGTACTTCCCTACTCCTGGCAGCTGCTTTTGCAGCTCTTCTGCTGTTCTTGGCATATGACCTGACAGTTGTGACATTACCTGTAAAAAACCAGTGAAGAAAGCAATTCAAAACAAAGGGAAACAAACAAGCTGAAGGTCTACTGTACTCTTAACAAGGCTGCACTGTATTCCACAGTATTTCTCAACACAAGGATGTTTTTATTAAAAACACATCTCTAAGTTCAGATATGCTGTTGAAGGCTAATAGTTTTTTAAGAAGTTCCCAACCATGTTGGCATTATGTAGGGCCTTGAAGACCTGGCCTAGGGCAATGTGTTGGATGAGCCCGTTTATAATAATTGGCGTGTGAAAATGACTAATGTTTGGCCTTGGATGTGCTTATTTGTTTATTTAAATATATTGGCTACCCAATTCCAGTGCAGTCTAGGGTTGTTGGTTGGTTGTTTTTTTGCTTTTTTGTTGGCTTGTTCTCAGATTTAATCCTATATTAACCACCCAGAGTCTCAATTTGTGAACTGACTATAAGCCAAGTAAATAGTACCATTTTCTTGCCAAAGTTAAGCACCACAACCCAGTCATCTAGTAACTCATTAATTCTGTCTACATTACCTTATGTGCACCTTCCTGGAGTCTTTTACCTCGAGAATAGTAGCCAAGGCCTGCCCATAGTTCATTCACTTCCTATTCTCAAATAGAAATGAGAAAAAAAAACCGAATTAACCCGAGAAGGATAAGGTCATACATATAAATGTCTTTTTCCCTTTACAGTTAACAAATGTGTGCATATTCATAAACGTATTTAAAATCTTTCTACCTCTAATGAAGCTCCAGCTAAATCCTGCAAAGTTGGCCATTTCTACATCACAAAGAAAAACAGGTGTTTATTTACTGGCTCTGCAAAAGCAGAACAGATGCACAAATAATTCAGAAGCCAGAAGCCACAAAGAAAGGAGCTCAGCATCACCTGCATCCAACGATTGTAGTAATTAATCACTGAAGCCACTTGGGTTTGCTGGAGCATGATCTCCGATACCCACACTGCAAGCACAAAGGGGAAACAGCAGCATCAGAGACTGCTCATTAAAGATATCTAGATCAAGGAAGCATGATAAAAGAGGTATGCCCCTTAACATATATATTAATAAAAATAATATATAATCAAATATATTACCCAAGCCAAACTCCAATCAAATCACTTGCTTTGTTGATGAGAATTTGGGGGCATTTAATATAGACCCCCTGAAACAGTTGAATTATTGCTCTCACCAGCATATGCTCGTCGGTCATCATCAGTTTCAGTTGCAGCCTGCGAGAGAGGAACAGCAAGGATGAAAACCCAACACAATAATTATCTCCTCATTTCAAAGAAAACAAAATATTTCTGAACCACTCCTTATTTTTCCATACCAGTTGCCTCCAAGGCAAATCTCGTTTACATTTATTGTACCAAGACAGCAGTCTCTTCTGGAAGTCTCTGATTTCATCCGCATCACTGAATGTGTGAAATACAGACTGGGAACTTGGCGCTTCTGTAGTAAAGAGAAATTAACCTTTTTAAGTTAGCATTTCTTAGGGCTACGTTGAGGGGGAAATCAATCTGTAATTGAATTTTTCTGCAATTTCTTAGAACGTATAATCAAATAAAAGATTAAGTGATCACTCCAAGATAATATAAATTATATTTAAATTATATTCGATATAATCAATCAGAATAGAGCTGGAAAGGACCTCAGAGGTCTTCTAGTCCAACTCAAGCAGTTCTGCTCAAGCAGGAGACCCTATACCAGGGGTGTCAAACTCAATTTCATTGAGGGCCGCATCAGCATTGCAGTTGCCCTGGGGGGGAGGCGGGTGGGTGTGGCTAGAGTGGGTGCAGCCTACTGGGTGGGCGTAGATGGAGTAGGTGTGGCCTACTGGGTGGGCATGGCCAGCCCTACATCGTTCGCGTCAAGGGGGCCTGTGGGGGGCCTGGGCAGGAGTGGGACAGATCTGAGAGTCTCTGGCAAAAGGGGTTGGAACCGGGGCAAGCACCAAGGCATGCCCCATTTCTTCATTCCTCACAAAGGGTGACACCTCCCCAGCATGCACCCAGAGGGCGGGGCTGACGCCGCAGGGGCTGGTTCCTCGCGGTTTCCAGATGGCCTTGTGGAGCTAAGACTGAATGCGTTTCAACATAGATGGCCACCACAAAATTGTACATTGGCTCCTGGCCGGCCTGGGCCAGGGCCAAGGCAGTGGGGGCCGTTCCCTCACTGTTTCCAGGATGGCTTTGTGGGCCACATGAAACCACTTCACGGGCCGCATCCGGCCCACCAGGCCTTGTGTTTGACATGTCTGCCCTATACCATTTCAGATAGGTGGCTGTCCAGTCTCTTCTTAAAAACCTCCAGTGGTGAAGCACCTACAGCCTCTGAAGGCAAGCTGTTCCACTGGTTAATTGCCCTCACTTTTAGGAAGTTTCTCCTTAATTCCAGGTTGCTTCTCTCCTTGATTAGTTTCCATCCACTGTTTCTTGTCTTGCCTTCTGGTGCTTTGGAAAATAAATTGACCCTCTCTTCTTTGTGGCAGCCCCTTAAATACGGGAATACTGCTATGTCATCCCTAGTCCTTCTTTTCTCTAGACTAGTTATACCCAATCTGCAACTTTCGTCATATGTTTTTGTCTCCAGGCCCCTAATCATCTTAATTGCTCTTCTTTGCACTTTTTCCAAGATCTTAACATCTTTTTTGTAACGTGGTGGCCAAAACTGGATGTATTTATTAAGACCGTACCTGGAATACTGCATCCAGTTCTGGTTACCACATTATAAAAAAGATATTGAGACTTTGGAAAAATACAGTATTAGACTTTTCATTTTTCTGTTTCTTGAGCAAAATCTTTGTGTAGCTCCATTACCTTTGTAAAGTACAAGTTCTTTTTTCACATTTCTTTGATGATTTTTGGATTTTCCCATATTGCTGCACTTTGACGTTTGACGTTTACTCATTGCCAAGCTAGGAAGAACATAAAGTATGTTATCATTAGATTAGATCAAACTCTTTCCAAATCTAAATGTAATAATTTGTGCAACACTCTATATAAATACTCCAAATTGTTACCAATTTAGTATGCAAACAATCACAATCACAAATGTGGGCAATCTGAGAAAATATGTTCCAAGGAGAAATCAAAAGAAATCAAAGTCTTTTTTTATTCTTGAAACGGATTCACCTACTCACATAAGACTGGTGAATACTCCAAAGCATGAGCGACTTCACAGTGCAAATAAATATTTTGTTCCCCCCCTTATATAAATATAAACCCTATATAAAAACTCTATGCAAATACAAAATAAAATTAGATCAGGTAACTAAATCCTACTTTTGGAAGAGTGAGATTTTCCTTCAATAACCTAAATTAATGCAAACTATTCTAGCTTTCCATGCCTAACAAAGCCGTCGGTTCTCCTCACCACGTGCCAACAACATCCGTGTAGGAGGATTGTTTTGTTCTTACACGCTCAAAAATGGAACAATTATTAGAAAACAGACGTCCTTTCAAAGGAGGGATACAACGTTTCTTTTTTTCCCCCTTCCCTCTCATCTGTACGGCTTTGTAGCCCCAGAGCCATCACGGAAACGCTACCGGTTGGCCATGCATACAAACGGTACGAACTACACAAACAGCAGATTGAAAAGGAAAGGGATATACAAAGCTCACCAACCGCAGCGCTACTGTAGGAAGCACAAAAAACCTAGGCTCTCCAACGGTTACTTTTTCTTGTATCGATAGAGTTCCCTCTTTGGACGGAAATGAAAGTAAAGGATTTTACCGTACTCAAGTATTTCTTTCCTACAACGGGAGTCTATCCACTTTCTAACGTAATTCTTACTCCGTGTACAAAGAGGTGTGTTTCTAATGGAGAGAGGGGATGGTGTTCTTTGCAAGCTGCCCTGCAATTAATATTTCAAGCAGCAAATAGACCCGGGACGTAGTTTGTGCTGTTCTGCAGATTTTGCGATTGGGAGGCGCGAAGTTTTAACTCGGCGGAAGCATTGAGGAGCAGAGACTAACTCTTTCTCCAGATCTTTTTTATAAATCATACCATCAGGTTTTATTTACGTGATGGAAAAACTAAGATCTTAGTAGCTAAAGCTTGTTAGGAAAAAAATTAATCCTCGTTAAGCTAGCGCTGGTCATTTGATGAAAAACAACCAAACGTGAGCATGGCAATTTATGCTTATGTATAGTGTAACTGCCTGCTTGATGCTATTTTGTAATTCGCATATTTTAATTTTTTTCTTAAAACTTTATTAGCTACTTTCCCGCAACCAATTATGAAATAAAGTATATCGCTGATTTTTTTTAAAAAATAAATGAGTTGTTGATAAGACTGCAATGGAAAATCTTTCCTCCCACTAGGCAATTTTTGTAAAATATTGAATTGGAAAATCTTGCCCGCTTCCAAGTCCGAATATCATATTTTTAAAATGTTTTTATATGCATACTTGCATCTATTCTCGGCTTGTGGAGATCTGACGCAAAATGAAAATTTTGATCACCTCGGAAGTTGGGTTTAATTTTTTAAAAAAAATATGCAGAAAACCCCACAGTTGCTAAACATATTACCCCATGGCCTTTATTTTTTGATAGCATGCCAAAAACTTTTAAAGCGTCTGGGTTAGGAAAGCTGGAATACTACATTCATTTTTCTGCGAATTATATTAATTTGAACGGGACTCCTGTTTAGATAATCTTACATAACTGCGCTAGCATCGAACGAAAGGCACTGAAATAGGCATCTAGATCTGTGCGCCATCAGCAGGAGAAGGACCCTTGAGTTCGTAACGCGCCGGAAGTTTATGGGGGTATCAGCGGGAGACGAATTCTACTAAGGGTAATAGAAAATCTGAAAACTTCCAAGGATTGCTACAGTTGAATGTGAGTTCCTGGATTCTATTCGTTTTGATTTTTCTCTCCTTTATAGTTTTCCCCAGGCGATTTGGTACCCAGGAACGCAGAGAAGAGAGCTCTGCCGAACGCAAAGCCTGCTCCCATTTAGACATTGGCAATTGCAATATGATTCTTTTGGTTACAGCTACCATATCTACACTGCACAAATGCGGAGGACCGGTAGATGACAGCAAGTAGTTTTCTGTATCTCTACTATCTTCTGCAGGTTGTGTGGATTCTTGCAACTGAGACATGTGACCTATATTTTTTGAGTTTTAATGGAAGAGATGGGGTAGATGCAGAAAATTATCAGTTCTTTAAATTGACTAGTTGGCAGCCTTTTGCTTATTTTACTTTTTCACCATGATTTCCCCCAAAACAAAGTTAATAACTGGATTATTAAAATAACATCATATGTGTCTTGTTCCCAACAGCTGTATTATAATGGCCTCTTTAAGGGTGCCCGTCATTGATGTCCAGGAAGACAATTTCAAGGAGCTGTGGCCATCCATGCTCTTGGCTATCAAAACGTCTAGCTTTATTGCTGTTGACACAGTGAGTAGAATTGCTCTTTATTGGTTTTAACTTTGGAACAAGAGAAAATTGCAGTCAGACTCCTGAGAGTTAGGTAAAATGTATCTCTAATTATTTTGTGTAGTTGCATCTTCGATTGAAGACTGAAAGTGTTATCTTTATCCATAGGAACTTAGTGGGCTTGGAACAAGGAAGAGTTTGCTGAATCAGTAAGTACTGTGCTGCCACTCTTTCTCTTCCGAAGTCAATTTCTTAATAATCAATTTCTTAATGTTGAGCCAAATATTTTATTCACAATACTTACTAAATATACTTGTCAGATTTTTAGATAGAAGCATTCAATAGGTATAAGCTTTAGATGGAATTGATGACTTGATTAAGATTATTTAAGCAATTGTCCCTTCTGAAAATAAGACTGTTAACTATAGGTATAGGCATCACTATAATACTCTTGGAGTTGGGGAAGATCATGTTTAAAGTTAGGGGATGTAGTTAGGTTAATGACAAGATTTTGTCATCAGATCAGAAATCATACGGAGTGTTGACAGCTACTTTATAATGATCAGATTATTGGTCCATCTAGACAATACTAATGATATTTTCAGGGGTTATGCACTCTGCAGATTAAATTTTCTTTCTTTGCTTTTTATTAAATTGCCTAATGTTTATCACAGGTGCATTGAAGAACGATATAAAGCGGTTTGCAATGCTGCTAAAACACGCTCTATTTTGTCTCTTGGAGTTGCTTGTTTTAAACACCTTCCTGACAAGGTATGGTGCTCATCTCGTATCTAGCCTTCTGTTGATATTTCTGTGAGGACAAGAGAATCTTACCTATGATGAATATTGAAGGCAAACCTTAGAAACTTAATCTAAAGATGATGTCTGGTGTTATTAGCATTAGTTTATAAAACTTTTGAATTTCTGGGGTATTATTGTATTCACAGAAAGGAGAGAGAACCTAAATTTAAAACAATTATCCAAAAAAGAAAGAGTAGACACAAACACTGCTAGAAATCTGACAAACATCTTATTTTGTGTTCAGCTATCTCAGTTAAGATTGCTTACTGTAGCTGAAATCAATGCTGGAGGTTTTCATATACACATATCTGAATGTATATATGAGACATATATTCACAACACAATAGTAATTGTTTTATTGCATTGGCTTTTATTTTGCAGATGGAGAACACATATCTTTCCCAAATCTACAACATGACCTTGCTGTGTATGGATGATTATATAATTGAGCCACAGTCAGTCCAATTCCTGGTGCAACATGGCTTTGACTTCAACAAGCAATATTCTCAGGGCATTCCATATCATAGGGGCAATGATAAGGTACAAGGATTCCTTAATTAAAGGACTAAATCTAATGGAAATATAAGAAAGAAATTGGGAAATGAGTTTGGATTTCTTACCTAGTAGATTTCACAGAATATTTTGTTCCATAACTTGGTGAAAGTTTAGTGTCAACATCAGGTTTAGAAACTAACCCAGGTTCAAGCTGTTTGATAAAAGTCTCATATTACCTTCAGCTATTGAAAGGAAAGTTACCAGTAGTACCATTTTTCTGTGAGATTGGAGATCTTACTGATAAGGCCATATTTAGATGATGTAGTTGTATGTTCAGTGGTTTAGTTGGTAGCTAACAAATGGTAAGCAAAACTTTATTGCCTATACAATACTTTAGATTAGATTGTATTTTCTTTAGATAATAGGTCTAGAGGAGATAACTTTTGGCACCCCATTTGCCCCTCCAAATCTAAAAGACTGTCAGAAGAGGACTTTAGTGGAATGCCTAAATAACATTGTTTCCATTTTGTTTACTCACAGGGAAATGAAAATCAGAGCCAATCAATTCGTACTTTTTTCCTGGAAATAATTCGAGCAAGAAAACCTATCATTCTGCACAATGGCCTAATTGATTTAGTTTTCCTCTACCAATGCTTCTATGCCCACTTACCTGACAATCTGGGCACTTTCACTGCTGACCTTTCTGAGATGTTCCCAGCTGGCCTCTATGACACCAAATATGCCTCAGAATTCGAGGCACGTTTTGTAGCGTCTTACCTAGAGTATGCCTATAAGAAGTGGTATGTATCATTTAACAAATATATGCTGTAAACACCCTGCAAATGTTGGAATTGTATTGCTCCTCTTCAGTTTCTTCTTTATATATAAAAAGATTTCAATATTCACATGACCAAGTAGGGTGAAGGCTAAGAAGATAACTACCGTATCCTTATACTTATTAGTCAGGAGGCAGTTTTCAAGCTGCTTATAGATCATTCTCTTTATGTAATCAAATGTAGTTCCAAAGCAGTGCTTTTGACATTTTTTAAACACTCTTTTCCTTCTTTTGTGAAAATGGGAGGGAAAACATCAGAAATAACTTATATAAATTTTGGTTGATTCACTTAACTAGCCATTATTTATGATTATCACTGGCTTTATTACTCTTCTGAAATGAATTTTAAAGTCTTTTTTCATTCTGTACTCTGGTGATTATACTGATTCAGAATAATGATAAAGTGGCATGAAATGCATGTCAATCTGCATTCTGTGTTCTCCATGTGGTCCAGAAAATATGAGAGGAGATATTGCATAACATGGCAGAGTGGAATAGGAATGGTAGGATTTTTTTCTTTTGGTTAACTAACTAGAGACAAGGCTCAGCAAGGTAGATATCAGGAAAAATGCTAGTGATAGTTAACTGGCAATAGAATTGGAAAACTCTTATCAGTAGACAAATTATACAGTTACCCAACAGCACTTCTGTATTAAATTTCATCTCAATGACAATTCTGTGTTTGTTTTGAATTGATTTTCCCTCCATCATACGTCTTTTTCTATGTTCTGTAAATCTTTTGTATGATTTTGTAAAAGAAAAGTCCTGAAAAATCACTGATTATCCCCATACATTTGCTATTATAATACTGCTTTCAATTTTCAGCAAACGAGAAAACTTCAGGTTGAAAGATTCTAAGAAACCATATCTCAGCATAGAATTCTGCAACTATCCTGCCAGCATAGATGCCTATGTTGAATATCGGTTCTGCTCTCTGCCTGATGTCAGCCAGGCTCAAACTGACAGCGCTAACAAAATTGTCATCTGTCAACCATTTTCGGTTAAGTATTATTGGCTCTTTCATCTGCCTTTTAGGATCTTAAAAATCTCTCTAAAGCCAAATTGGAAATAACTGTTTTAGGCCTCAAATGTTGTTAGATATTGACCATGAAAACCAGTTACCCCGAATAAAAAAAATCTCTCTTGCTAGATCAGCTTTTCTGGCCATTAAAATATGCTACAGGGAAACCAGATATTTTTTAATTAAGTGGGTTATTTTAAAAGAAAGAACAAAACTGGAATTTTTGCTTCATTTAGGAACAAGCTACTTGGGGGATCCAAGTGAGGAGGTTTAGAATCAATGGTTATGCATAGTACTGTTTTCTAGGAAAGATTGACTGGATTCCAGTCATTGCAAAATTTTCAGAATTTTTTAAATCTATCCTAATAGTTCTCATTCTCCTTCACAGGCTTATGGCTGGTGCCCAGATGGGCTGAAATGTACACAATCTCACAATATTGATCTAATAATTAATGAAGATGAGAATCAGAAAGAGGAGAAGCGGAAGACAAGAAAACAGAAATGGAAACGGCGGAAGAACTTAGCAGAGTCGACAAAAGAAGTTGAACTGAGCAGCCCCATGAATGATGTAAAGTTAGCTTGGAATAAGGAAAAAGGTTCCCCTTCCAAACAGTCCTGCCCTATTAACTTGATTGTTCCTATTGTAGATAATGCAGATGCAGAAAGAGCATCTGGTAATGGGGAGACTTCAATGGATGTGGAACAAGAACTAGTTTCCAACAGTGCAGTTGATGCCAGTGTTGATGGCAATGTTGCCATTGCCTTAGACAATGGGAATGTCATTTCTTCACCATTCAAAGACTTCCAGCAGGAAAAGCCAATAGGAAGTGAAGGAACAGAGCCAAAAGCCCAGTTACAGAGTGATTCTGCAGTGACTTCTTTGCCTGTTACAGATAATGTAGCACCATCTAACTGTTCACGAGGGAGTATTCACCGGGCTGGCTTTGATGCTTTCATGACAGGTTACATAATAGCATACATCCAGATGCTCAGGAATGATAAACAGAGAGACTCAAATGATGGGCCTTGGTTACCAGACTGCCATAACAAATTGTATCTTAGTGGAAAGTCTGTGCCTCTTCAGATTGTGAAAAGTTTGTTTTCTAAATCTTCCAAAGCCCACAACCAAAAGATGAAATTGGCATGGGACAGTAGTTAGAAGCAAACACCGTATCGTTCAGGATCACAGATAATGCTATTATTATCGTTTTCTTGAAGCCGCAGCCCTCAAACCAGAGCTGCTATAGAGACATTAATAAGACATGATAGAATATGTGTAGCAGCCTGAATATGGATTTATTTTTAAATGTTTGTAAAATTATGTATTAAATTTTCCCATTGGGGATAGAATCTTTATATGGCAGATGAAGCATTTTTTTTCAAGCACTTTCTTGTATAAGACTAGTACATCACTTTAAAAAATGTTTCCCATTTGTTTATATATTCATACGCACACAATGCCTCTTGGGGAATGGCAGTGCTGTACATGTATGAGAAGACAGATGGCATCAGTTTTCAAAGCAGCCTTGTAAACTTTCCCAAGAATCATCTACCTTAAACATTCAGAGAAATGTTTTCTTTGTACCAAGGGGATTGTGGGAAAACATTTTTTACATGGATCGCCTTGCACCACCCTCCATACTAATGTTCATAAGATCAGATAGTTAGCTGTATTCCTGCTCTCTAACTTTTATGTCTTTATCAGATGTTGTGAAGTCATTACAGCTCTCCATGCAGTGTAGATGCCTACTTTAGTAGACTTTCAGATTTATAGACTAGTACTTGTTTTTAAGCAGGTGCTTAAAACAGCATTAGTTCCTTTTCTGACATCCCAGCTTGTACAGCTTGATCAGAATAGGTAAGAAGTGCATTACCTACCTTTTTAAACACTTGTGCGTTCAAGTGAATACTTGAGAACAGTTATTACACAGGTGTCAAACTTGATCGTGTCATGTGACCTATCGAGACTTTTTTTGCCTTTGCGGAGCTGGGGTGGGCGTGGCCTACATATGACACATCCGGCCTATAGGCTGCCAGTTTGACACTTGAGTTATTATGTTAGTTCTTGCTTAACTTGATTACATTCGAATATTTAAGCCCCAACTCTGTATCACAAATTTCTAATCAAACTTTCTGAAATTTTGTGAGGCTTTTGTTTTGGGGAAGAGGAATGCAAATACAGTGTATCAAATATAAATTCCTCTATTTTTATAGCAGCCCAAAAAGGAGACTGCAGCCATTTTAAATCAACTACAAAGTTTTCAAGGCTTCAGAAATCTAATTGAATCTAACCTACCATAACATAAGGCAGTGTTTCCCAAACTTGACAATTTTAAGGCATGTGGACTTCAACTCCCACAGCGTTGCTGGCTGTGGAATTCTGGGAGTTGAAGTCCTCATGCCTTAAAATTGTCAAGTTTGGGAAACACTGACAAGGTGATGTCTGATTTTCTTGTATTACAGTTTGTCATTAGCAAACAGCTGGTTGTCTTTCCTCTTTCTGGATATCCTTTTGAAATCACGCCCTCTAAACTGTTCTTACATGTGTTTTACATTATACTGTTTTGTTTTTAGTTATTTTAAATCCTTTAGATAGGACAACAAAAAAATAAGGAAAAGATAAGGAATTAAAGCCAAATTGCTTAATTTTTTTTTTACAGTTCTATTGAAGTCTTATTTTCCAAATGCAAATTAAGCTTTCTGTTGGAAAAAAACAGTAATGCAGGATAGAGTTACAAATCAACATTTGGAAGGTCATAGGCTCCCAGTCCCATTCTAGTATAATTATTCAAAGGGATATTTTTCTTCTGTACCATCACCAATCTTTGTTGAAATAAAATATTGGTGTTTTGCTTATTAAATAATGTTTAGCTTTTTGTATCAAAATATTTGGCAGACTGGAAGCTTTTTAGCTGTTAATTTATTGTTGCAAGTCTTTTTGTAATACAGATCGTGAAGTTATGTATTCCAGTTACACACAACAAAACAGTAATGAGATCTCTTGGAAGCTAAATAATGATTCTTTTATTAGTCTTTATCTGTTCCAGATACATTGCTGGAAAGCATTATTTGATAACAGCTTTACTGAGGTCAATAACGTTCAACTTATTAAAAGCTGTTGCTGGGGAGAGCAATGAAGTAGCTAAAGCTGGTCATTAATACCAAGCTAGAGAAACGAAAGCTCAAGCTAACTGAATAGCTCTAGCCAGATGTTATCAACTTGTGAGGATGGACAGCAAAATGACAAAATTTGAAATCAATGTAAAGTGATGCAGCAGTAGCACACAAATTTTTTATAAATGTTAATACTTACAAATTTTATTATTTATACTTTCACAGGAATTGAATAAAATTATAATTTTATATCCATCTATATTCCAAACATATTTGATATTTGAAGGATAACTGTTAAATGTGAAATCAAGAGCTGTTTTTTGGTATAAGAAAAATGAAAGCATTTAGATTGTTTTACTCTGTTTTCCTTTGAAAACAGAGTAAAACAAATGAGAAATGAGGTGGCTGGTTAAAAATGGTGAGTAGATTTTATTGTACACTGCCCAGAGTCCCTCTGTGAAGGAGATGGGCAGTTGTTAAGTAAGATAAATAACTTAAAGAGCAAGGAGAATTTTTTGCTCAAAAAGAACTTTCAATCATTTAGTGAAAGTTGATTGGTAATTCTATCCTTCATTAATGCAATTAACTTGAAAACTTCAAGATGGATACATAGATTACTTAGAAAATAGAAATATCCAAATTAATAGAACACTGATCTGTAGCACAAATGCAAATGCCTCAACAGAACAACTGTCCCATTACTTGTTATATGAAAGCATTTAACTTACCAACATGACATTGGCTCCAGTTACTATCTTTTTAATATAAGGTAACTGCAGCTTACACACTATGAAATGTGATGTGTCTTCTCTAGAAACAAATGTTAGGATAATCTACCACCAGCATTAATTTTTGGTGAATACATAACTGAAAATCTGAAAACGTGAAAGCACAATAAGGAATTCCTTCTGGAATGAGACAAAGACTCTCCTGGAATCTGACTGTAACAGAAAAAAACATTATCACTTGCACAACAAAATACTGGAATGTGTGAATATTAAATCAGAATGGGTGTTTCCCAGAAATTGTTTGAAGCCATTTTATATTGCTCCTTTGCTTCGTAAGTTTTGTCTTCTCAACCACAAAAACATATTTGTTTTTCTTCTGACTAAACTGGGGAATAGTTTACAAAAACTATAAAGAAAATTTGCAGATATTTTAAACTACGTTTATCTTTGGTTTTTTTTTTAGTTCCAGTGAAACATACTGCTTATGTAATTCTAAGGGGGGGGGGAATCAGACAATATGAATCAACACATACAAATCAAGATTTGTTTTCTTTAAACATTCATAAATATCTAAAGTATTAGAAAACTGCTTTTTAAAAAATCCTTTTCTTGGCAGTGTTAAATTATACACATCATGCTATAATTTTTTTTCCTAAACTTTAATGACAAAATTTAGCTATTTACAGACAGCAAATATTAAGACATAAAATTCCTTCATAAATATGAAAATAGATCTTATAAAGATCTATAAACCTTAAATCAAATATTTGGCTACCTCAAAGGTTATTTTTGCATAGAAATGTAGTGACATGCAGTATAAACAGCAGCATTAAGTGCAAAGAGGAATTATTCAAGTGTCTAGTTAAACTGGCAAGAAATACCAGTGTTCTTGGACAAGATCCAGCAACCAAGAATCCATAGTACACTTTTTTTCTACTCTGGCATCAATTTGTTACATTACATGTATTCACAGTCTTTCATCAGTTGGCCACATGAATATCCTCTGATATGCTTATTAAATGTAATTTAGACAAAATTAATGAATTAAAAATCGACTGAGGATCTTACAAGTGTTTTCAGGTGGCTTGTCAAAAGCAATATGCATCTTTGTTAGCAAATCAAACATGCTGAAAAGCAAAACCATCTAGCATTGTTGTGTTTGTACAAATTATGCATTCATTTGGCCACATTCTGTATAGAGTACAGATGATGGCTCATAGCTGGTCCTCAATGCTGGCTTTCCATGATGTACCCCAGGGGTCTTCAAACCTGGCCCTTTTATGACTTGTGGATTTCAACTCCCAGAATTCCTCAGCCAGCTTTGCTGGGAGTTGGAAGTCCACAAATCTTAATGTTGCCAAGGTTGAAGACCCCTAGTGTACCCAAAGAATGTGATAATAGTGTTTACATGTTGTATAAGATGACAGATTACTTTTCTGTTTAACCATTCAATAACTTTGTAGTTTGCTTTCTCAAGCTCCTATGAAGCCAACTTTTGTTAAATGGCAGTCTAGAAAGACTTACTTTTGCATCAAGGACCTAGGTTATCACTAACACTCTACCAAGAAGGCAGAGCAACTGCAGTAGGAATCTATTATCCCATTAACAAGAGAGGGTACCACTTCTTAGAGTCTATAAAAAAAAACCAGGAAAATATACAAAAAAGGGTGGGGGAATGTGACCAGAATGGAAGTAATTTGTCACATCTAGCCTTCAAAAGCAGTAAAAGTGAGATATTGAAAGGTTACAAGAATGGAATCTGCAGAGCAAGTTATAAACTAACGTGGGCGAAGGATGGAATAGTTTCTGGAAGTGAAATTGAAATGGCCTCTGAGACACATTGCATACTTGGTGCTTTCCAGAGCTGAGCATAAATTACATTCAATTGTTTTGCTTTGGATGGGGTGGAGGAAAATGATACCAAATTTAAAATCGTGCCACCTGTTTTAAATAAAGCAGCCTGATAATAACTACTGGGATTCTTTATCACTAATTCTGAAAGAGGAAACAATTGAACTGGAATATGGTGCTACTTTAGAAATTTTCAAATGAATAATTAAGACAATTTTGTTCTCCAGCTTGAGACTGTCATTAACTTCTATAAACAAACATAGCTTGCAAAACTGGTCTGCTCAATATTTGTGACTTTGCTTTTATTGCTTCATATTTTGTGAGGATTTGCCCTTTCTATAGTTCAGTTTTGAGGAATGAACATTAGGAAATTATGTTCACCAGAACTAATTTCAAGTGTATTCTAACTAGAGGCAAAATTTGGGAGTTTAATCCTTTTTATATAATCTATATTAACTCCTATTAAGTTCTGAGCATGTAATGCTGGTCTGGATGTGCTATTTCTGTAGCTACACTTTAAAATTCATTTTCCATTTGAGAGATTTCAAGCAACTTATCTACAAAATTTATATAAATTGTACACAGAGACCATGTTTCAATGTGAGTGACGCACATAGACTAATTGAAGATATGCATGCAAAACTGGATTTTTAAAATATGTTGAAGGGAGTTTCCATGCCAAACATTTGATGACCATACGTTTCATGCTTCTACAATAAAGGGAATAAGGTTACTTAAGAGATAAAAAATATTCATCTCATTTTGTTTCATGAGCAATTTATTCAAAAAAGGAACTTTGCTGTTCCTTCAGTAAAATGGCTGATGGAAAATTTCCTTACCAGCAAATAAAACCTGGACAAGCAACTAATAATTTAACAAGGAATGCCTGAAGTAGGAATGTGCTCAGTGCCTCCACTGTTTGCAACTGGACTGGAAAAGGTAAGGAAGTTATTGTAGCCAAATCTCAACTTATTTAATAATTGTTATAGTATTCGGAGTCCTATTCTTCCTGTTTATTTATAGCAAAAGTGGGGAAGTATCATTGCAAACCATTCTATTTTGGTTGATCCAAAATAGGATATTCTAGAAATTAATCAATCCAAAAGTGATTTCTTGCAATCATGGACCAAAATTTTTTGAATATTGTAGAAATGGTTTGATATGTTGAACTACTTCCAGAGAAGCTGATTTTGAAACTGAAATTCCCATGACAAAAAATCTTGTACATGTTTTTGGGCAACCTGCGATAATAATGGACTCCAACTCATCAGCCCTTGTTACTGGCCAGAACAGTTGTGGTTGTAGTCCAGTAATATCTAAATCAACTGCCCTTACCTTTAAGCAACTTCAAGTATAAACTTCTATTCGCAGAATATTCCAACAATGGACATTGTTCAGAATACTAGGTTTTAAAATTAATACTTTGAAGGTTGGCCAGGGTAAGTAAGACTAGTCCAGGACAGTCTGCCCCCGACTCAGGATACTTGTTATTTTAAATATTTTCCACATAAATATTTATTGCTGCTCAGCATTTTTACTGCTAATGAGACAAAGATTTTGAAGGTTCAAGGAGACACTAAGTTTAAAAAAAAAACATTTAACAGAATGTAAAAAGTATGAATAACACAAATAGGAACATGGAGAGATGTCCATAATCTCACTATCTCTATAACTGTGACCCTACATGAATCAGGCATTCAACAGCAAACCTTATTCCTATATTAGCTTCTTCCTGAGGTATGCTGAGAATTCTTTACGCACATCCTTGCATGCATACGATCTCTCATAATACATTTTAGAATTTTCAAATGGACTGGTTACATTTCTATACTGTTTAGAGACATTTGACACAGGAAGTTAAAACCATAGTTAGAAGTGTATCATCATAATCATCCAATGGCTAGTTTTAAATGTCACATTTTGGCTGTCCACTTATTGATGCTAGTGTGTCTGAAGGCAGCAGAGAAACATTTGAACTGTCACTGTCCACCACTTCAAGGAAGCCGGAGTCTCTGCCATGCTGTGAGGAAGGATTAATACTGAGCAACCGTTTAGAAGATTCCAATTTAGTGGAAGGCATATTCCTTTGAGTTTCATCTTCAACCTCCATTTCTTCAGAGGTGGTACAGCTCATGAACATTTCTGGGAATTGATTTTCTGGGTAGTCTAAATTGTCTACTAAGATATTAGCCACTTGGCCAGGAGTGTTTTGCAGCACTTGTCCCTCAGGCTTCCCAAGTTCTGGCTCTTCAGCTGAACATTTTACAGAATACCCATTTTTGTTTAGAGACTCCAGTTCATCAGAACAATCCATTTCCTCCTCTTGCAGAAGCAGAGGATGAGAGTCCTGCCTGCGTTGTTTAACCTGAAAAGGAGGGATCTCAGATACACCATACTTACTACTGCATAGTAGCCTCTGGCGCACCTCAGCCCCTAGCTGCGTGGGATCACAGCAACTGACTGTTGAAGAGATACCTCCAAATGCGCTATAATCTTTAGGGCCAAATTCAGGAGAAACTGGAAGTGATCTGCTTCTTCTCCCAGGAAAGAAAGAAGAGCCTTGCCAGTCAGAGGCATAGGTGTGCTTGAATAGCGGCTGGCTCATTTTTAGACATCCTCTTGCTTCTGGAGAGTGCAGGTCAAATACAAGAGATATCACGGATTTGCTAGGCAAGTCAAAAAATTTTATCTTCCCCCCTTTCAAGTCTTCCCTAGAATTGAAGGGGTTGACTTTTCGACTTGCCCCTTTGCTTGGTGTATAATATGGATCCTGAACATTTATCTTGCAGGAAGGTTTCCGAGAGAAGATGTCTGACTGACTGCGTGATAGCCAGATGTTTCGCCGTGGCCGGGGTGATTTAGGTGGGATCTTGTCATCCAATGAGCTCAGCCGTTTGATACCTTGTCCCCTCTCTAGCAATCCTAAAAAATAAAATCGGATTTAAATCCACACATTACCTCAGTGACAAATCTAGACTCATATACACTCACAGGGAGAGATAATCAATACATATGTGCTGTTCTCATATCCTCCACAACCATACACCCTTAGGAAGTATACAAATTCTCATAAAGTTCTTTTTTCAATCTCAAATAAATTTTGTATAAGCCATTTCTATAGACAGAGAATGCAATCTATTGCATATTGTTAAATTTTGTTTTTATACTCTTCGACATATCTTCTATCCCTCAAATGCATAGACATATTTAGAAATAGCTAATATGACAAAAATATATTCTTCCAATTATTTGTACACCCTAAAAGTCTTCCCAAGAGTGAAAGTTAAAGAGGACACTCCCCTTTTAATTAAGTTTAGCACATTCCATGCTATTAATGACAATAGTTTCCAGAAGTGAGGTTTCCCTGGAGCAAAAGACACCACTATGCTGTGAAAAGGGCAGGCAAACAATAATACTTCCCTGTGGAAGTGGTTATTTTCCACATCAGCCTTGAAACAGCACATTGTCCAATGTAGAAACTAGGATACACAGCACTTGAGCTTGGGGGAAAAATCTGTTAAATACATTTAAATAAAAAGTCACTAAACAAAGCAGCTATAAATATTAAGGTCAGACGGAAAGTGTTTAGCTATATTACAAAAAAATCCTTTTCCTTTAAGATATCTGAGTTTATGTTTACATTTTCCTAAGCATAACAGATACTAAAGTGATACTTTAAAACAAGAATGGATAAGCAGTGTATAGCCTACAGCAGTGGTTTTCAACCTTTTTAATGCCGTGACCCCCAACCGGTCGTAAGTCGAGGACTACTCAACCGGTCGTAAGTCGAGGACTACTCAACTAGTGCAGCACTGTTTGCAGAATGGGACTTTTGGCGGGCTCAGCAGGGCAGAGACAGCCTGGACAATTCCTATTGGCTTTTGAAAGCCAATAGAATTAGACTCTATTCAAGAGAGTCTATTCTATTGGCTTTCAAAAGCCAATAGAATAAAAGGAAAAGGGGGAAAAAATGGCAGACTGCGTTGTTTGGCGACCCCCGTGAAATGGTCGTTCAACCCCAAATGGGGTCCCGACCCACAGGTTGAGAACCACTGGCCTACAGGATCTCAAGATCATGCTGTCAAAACTTTGGAACATTCTGATCTGGATAATTTAAGGGTGGGAATAGTACCATTTTGCCTCCTGGAAACTTCACACTCCTATTCCATTCTTCCCTCTGGAAGCCAAAATCAGCAGTTTTTGTGGGACAGATAGTCCTCATTTAGCAACTATCTCATATAGTAACCATTCAGTTACAACAGAGATAAAAACCTAACTTTATGATCAATCCTTGTGTTTATAATCTTCACGGGTCTGTAAAGTTAAAGGAAAACTAAAGTAAGATCATAAACACAGTCACGGTTTCACTTTGCTTAACGACGAAGTTGCCAATCCCAACTGTGGTTGCTAAATGAGGACTACCTGAATCAGGAAAATGAAACGATGGGAATGGTAATTTGCCCCCTAGATCAGTAATGGCGAACCTTTTAGAGACCGAGTGCCCAACTGCAACTCAAAACCTACGTATGCATTGTTAGGTGCCAGGTGGATGTGGCCTATTGGCTGGGTGTGGCCCATTGGTGGGCGTGGCTGCAGTGGTAACGGCAGACTGGGTGGGACTAAAAAGTTCAATCAATCAATTCCAACTTTGCAAGATCTTTTTTTTCCCGTGAGAAATTGAAATTGACTGATTGATTGAACCTTTTTTTTTTTGCACATGGCGGCGGAGGCCTAAAGCAAAAAGGTTTTATAAAACCCAGCTGAAGGCCTAGGAGTGGGGCGACAGTGCGTGTGCCCACAGAGAGGGCTCTGAGTATCTGGTATTGATTTAAAAATCTGTTGTAAAAAATCCAGTGTCTTCATGGATTTCCTCATGTTTAAGGGCTGTTTCATATGGTTTTCTGTTAAAAAAATGTAAATACATCTTTTGGCCTGAAAACTATGCCAAGCTTTCCATGGCATATTGAAAGCTACATTCATAAATATGGACTTGGTTTTGGGAGAAATTCTAAGGAATGAGATGGATGCTTAAGCATCTATTTTGCCCAATATACAAAATTAAAAGCCATGTTTTGCTCCTTAAACTCCAAGTAGTCTTCCAATAAAAGGAGGCCCAACCATTGTCCCAATCTTCTCTTGGGATCATGAAAGACACATGCTTGTGGGGTACAATTTATATATCTTGTACTTAAGACTAAAATGAGTGGCAAATTCAAGATGTAAACTGGCTCAGCTACGGAATTCTAACATAATTCAAATTTCCCATCTAAATGAAAATAATGTCTTAAATTTCTATACTGTGGTCATAGCAGTAAAACACCCCTACCCCCCCAAAAAGCCATAATTTAGAATTTTGTTTTAATCTTGCCTTTAGTACATTATAAGTTAATGCAAAGCAGTGAACATACATAATACTCCTTTCTCCTCCTATTTTCTTCACAATAACACCTCTGTGAGGTGGGTTGGGTTAAGAGAATGTGTCAACCAGCTGGCTTTTGGATTGCCCAAATTTTAATTCAGCCTCCATCTATTTTTTCTTTTCTATTTGTAAAAGTTGCTACAATTCAAGCTTATAATAAATATCTCACAAGACTTATGGGTGATTCAAAATAAGATATCCCAAGCCATGAAGAAAAGCACTTAAGTTGGACTAAACTCCAAGAAATGTTTATACCAAGGACTCAGAAGACACAACAAGCCTCGAACATTTTTTAAAATTATACATCATAAGAAATGATCAGAACATAAAAAGCTGCAGTAATAATAATAAAATAATAATAATTTTTGTAATATTTTTCTTAGCCATAGAGTTAGAATTTGGGTGTCAAAGCATCTAGTCTTTACAAGACAAAATAAAAATGACCATTATCAAAGATTCAAGTCTACAAAAGAGTACTTTGGAAAAACAAGGTAACTATACCAAGTGATAGAGTTGTCTTCTACACCATTCTGTCACTGAAGACATTAATAAAGCATGGATACCTCAGTCAAAATGCTAACCACTAATCACCAACATTGCAAAGTGATCTTTACTCTTTTCCTTTATAATCTGATTAACACACCAAGCCCATGGTAACTCTAATACAGGGGTGTCAAACTGCCGGCCCACAGGCTGGATGCATGATGGTGAAACCGTGCCGACCCCATTGCCGACAATGGAAAAAAAGTCACAATACTTTGCGACACGTCATATAATGTTGCGAGTTTGACACCCCTGCTCTAATACAACCATTTTATTGTGTTTAATACAAGATTTCCTTGTATTAGGGTAATTCTATTTGTTAAAATCTATGCGATATTCCTAATCTGCTGGCAGCAGATTAGGGGAGAAATGATCAGAGAGGAATGGTGTTGCTAACTCTTCTCACCATTTTTGTAAAAAAAAAAAAAAAAATTAAGATTTCAGGGGCTGTTCTTCCACTGTTGGGGATATAATGATAAACTGGGACACTTGTGATTACAACAATTTCATACCATGCATGCCAACTGAATCCCTTTCACATGATTCCCATTAACCCTAATGTGAGAGTTGACAATTTTTCAGGGGGAGGGAGAGAAAAGTTCTGAGACTGCTTCTGAAGTGGAAAGCCTCTCTTTCATGAGAAAATGTCAGTAAACTCTGACTCTATCTATTTAGAAATCTGATTTGGGCCATTTTCTCCAAATCTGCCAATCCTTTACATTTGAGGTTGGAAGGAATGTTGTAGATGCTTGCCTTTCATTATAAAGTCTGTGGAGGAAAGCTAGCTTTTTCTATGGTTGCCCTAGGTTGCCTACCATGGTTCACAATGCAGGTAGTCTAGACCACAGGTCGGCAACCTGCGGCTCCGGAGCCGCATGCTGCTCTTTGAGCCTTCCCCTGTGGTTCCCAGCCTCCTCTGCCTTTGCAGAGAGAGACAGAGACACAGAGAAGCAATTGCGCTTCCCTGCTTCTCTCTCTCTCTCTCTCTCTCTCTCTCTCTCTCTCTCTCTCTCTCTCTCTCTCTCTCTGTGTGTGTGTGTGTGTGTGTATGTGTGTGTGTATAAAAGAGAATGCACTCACAGTATTCTCCGAGGAGCTGAAAAGCTTACTGGGCGGAGCTCCTCCCTTTGCTGCGTCTCTGCAGGAAGCAGGAAGCAGGAAGGGCAGGAGAGACCTAGCTAGCCCAGCTAGGCTGACTCAGGAATTCTGGGAGTTGAAGTCCATGAGTCATAAAAGAGACAAGATTGCCTACTCCTGAGCTTGTTGGACAACAGCTTGAAGCTTGCCAGGTGAGCAGCAGATAGGAGAGGGGGGGAGAGAAAGAGAGAGAGAGAGAGAGGGAGGAAGGGAGAGAGAGAGAGAGAGAGAGAGAGAGAGAGAGAGAGAGAGAGAGAGAGAGAGAGAGAGGAAAGAGAGAGAGAAAAAGAAAGAGAGTGGGGGAAGAGGAGTGGCAGACCAAGGGCAGATAGAGAGGGAGGGAGAGAGAGAGACACAGAGAGAGACCCTTTTGATATCTAAAATGAAGATAACACTGCATATATCCTTTTTTTACCTGTGTGTGTCTGTACACACACACACACACACACACATATATATATATACGTATGTACATATATATATATATATATATACACACACACACACACACATACACAAACACACACACCTATAATAAAGGTAAAAAAGGATATATGCAGTGTTATCTTCATTTTAGATATCAAAAGGGTTTTGTGGCTCCCAGTGTTTTGTTTTTGGTGGGAAACGGGTCCAAGTGGCTCTTTGAACGTTTTGGGTTGCCTACCCCTGGTCTAGACTAATGTTTATGTATCTCCCTCAAGTTAACATGAACAACAACATCAAAATTAAATTCCAACCTATCAGAGTGACTTAAGAAACTATGTGTCCAACAAATATGTCTGTGGACTAAATCTGATTCTTGAAGAAAGACAGAAAGTGAATAGATTGGATATACTGTGAACATCAAATTGTATTTCCAATTAAACTTTTACTTTTACAAATAAATTAACTCTTATTCAATATATGATTATATTTAGTTAGACTTTGTTAGAATATTATAAATACAATGGCTCCTACTTATAAATAAATACACAATTCAATAAAATATTTAATGTTTGCTTGGCAAGCTGGGCAGTTTTATGATCATATTGTTTGATCCTACCTTTGGAAACAGATATGGGTTTTCGATCTGTAATATCCAGATTTAGTAGCTTCCTTTCTCTTTCATCTTCTTCTCTTTTCAAATTGCTCAGAATTTCCTCCAGTGTTTTGACAATATCAGTAAATGAAGGGCGTAACTTTGGGTCCATCTATGAAGATAAGAATAAATGCTAAATTAAACACATAACACAAAATCTATGCTTCTATGTCACAGTTAGTCCTCAACTTATGACCGATTGCTTAGCAACAATTTGAAACTGACCCCCCCCAAAGCTACTTACAATCTAGTCCCTAAGTTACAGCTGCCGCAGCGCCCCCCCCCAAAGTCTTTTGCCTTTATGACTGGATGATGAAATATCTATTATCTGAACGCCCCCTGCTTTCCACCACATGGGATCCTACATCTTCCTCCTCACCTTGCATCAACCTTTGCCACTTCTATTTCAAAGCTCTCCGGAGCTCTCAAGCTTGGGTTAGGGAAGGACAGCCCACTCTATTGTTGGACTATGCAACATGATTCTTGAAGCAGCTTCCATTTTCCTAGCAGCTGCATTGAATTCTGGCTGCTCAGAAATTGGCAGTTGCTTCCGGAATCATGCTGCATGGCCCAGCAATGGAGTGGCTTGCTTTGCTTTCCTAAAATGAGCTCTAGAGCATTTCGAAAGATAAGTATGTGATGGGTGACATGGTGTGAGGAGGAGGGTGTGGGTCTGGTGGGGGCCTACAGGGACCTGAGGGGTGGGAAGCAAAGCAACGGGTACCTGAGGGGTGAAAGATGCCTTGGGCGGCCAAGGGAAGGGCCTGCACTAGCCTCAGAGGCAACCCATGCTCCACTCAATGACTCGCATGTTCATTTAATGACCACATTGAGAAGAGCAGGGATGGGGGTTTGTAACTGAGGCAGTCATGTGGCTGCTTCACTCAACAGCTGTCACAACTTCTGACCATAACGGGCAAACTCCATTATGGTTATGAGTTGTGGACTATCTGTATTCTACCAATATAAAAATGTTTTATCATTAACATTTTGTGCACATGCAAATATAGAAACACTCTATAAAAGAAAATTTGCTGGATGCTTCATTTTCATAAAACCTTGCCTAATATAATATAGGAAAGAAGTATAGTGATAGTTTTTTATATCCTTACTTTATATTCTTTGCTCATTTTCATAGCAAATCTACACATAAGTAACAAATGTCATAAAGTAATTCATACAAATCATTCATATTTTGCCTTCAAAACACTTCATAATTTCTGAGTTACAAAACCTCCCAATTCATTCAGCCTTGCATTTTTACATTTAATATAAGCTGGGATTATAATTTTTTTGAGGATACTGACGTTGCAGCAATTGAAGGCTAACTGGAGAAAGTTGGGAGGACAATCCCCCACCATGTGCTGAAAGGCATCATAATCCAGTCCAAAATTCTACATGAAAAAAAGAAAAATGCTCTGTTAATATCTAAATAAAACAAACATGTATTAAAGAAAGCAGTGGGGAAATTACAAGGGTTAAAAGATAAAACATAAAAGATGTAGAACCTAATTCTCCTCCTGAGCCTCTGGGTCAGTACTTCTGTGGATTGGACAAAGAGATGCTGATGTTATTTTGTCCTCCTTCATTGGCCTAACAATACTTTCTAAATCCAATATAATATTGTTCCATCCTTCTCATTACTCGGCTTGATTGCCGACTATCTAGATCAGCATTTCTCAACCTTGCAACTCTAAGATATGTGTGGACCTCAACTCCCAGAATTCAAGCAAAGGAGCAACGCTGGATGGGGAATTCTGGGAGTTGAAGTCCACATGGCACAGAATTGCTAAGAAACACTGAGAAACGTGCAGCTTGATCTCAGAAGCAGCTGCCAGTTTCTGAACGGCCAGAATTCAATGCAGCTGCTAGGAAAATGGCAGCTGCTTCAAGGATCATGTTGTGTGGCTCAACAATGGAACAGCCTGTCCTTCTTCCCTAACCGAATCTACATATTAACCAGCAAAATTCCAAGGACTGATTTAATACTACATTTTATGATTCTAAAACCTCCATAAGTATATTAGTTTGCTGGTAAACCATTAGATTATTTCTACAGCATGTACTGAAACATCTTCAGCCTGTACATAGCTCAGACAGATGCACCATGCTGAATGGAGGGAAAGAGAAAAAGCAGCCCAGAGTGCTACTGCATTTATTCGGGACTCAGTTCTGAAACTAAAACTAGTACAGAGAAAATAAATGTTTCCCTTTCTGTCTATGCAGAAACTCAGCTCTTTGAATGTTGGAAACACAGCACCAATTCAGCTTTTTAAAAATACATTTGGAGTTATAGTATAAGAGAAAGTATTCTAAGAGATAATAGTTTCAATCCCATAATCCAAGTTAACTCCTCCAATATAGTCTAACATTTAGAACTGTGAAAGATGAGATATACAGTAGTGGCCAAAATTGTGGAAACCTTTTGGGAAAAGTGTACATTTGAGGTTTGATGGCTAATAACACCACTTTTTTTTCGGAGTAGTACCATAAAATTATGTATCAATGGAAAGATAATTTAATCAAGAATGTAATGCAACATAGTTTGTTCAATTATCTATACTGTATTCTATGAAAAGTTATAACCAAATAACCAGAAAAAGGAAGCACAACTTGCTTAGGTTGATATCAGGTAGCTTTCCTTCATCTGATTGTAGCCAATGAGCATGAGTGTTTAGAGAGCCAATCAGGTGTCATCTTGTTTTGGCAATGAGCCAATCAGATCACAGTAGGATTCAGTTATTAATGACATGTATTGAAGCTGAGAGGAGGACATTTGTCAGTGTGTTATGTGATCACTATCAAGTTGGTTGAGGTTTTTTTGTGTTCCTTCATTTAGTGAGCTTGTAAAACATAATAAAATTAAAGTAATGATGCAAAGAGTTGACTGGTCACTCAGAAAGCGATGTAAAATAGTATTATTAAGTGAACAAGGCTACAGTTATAAAGAAATTAGAAGAAAAATTGGTAGAAACTTAACCAAAGGTGGCATTTCTATTGTACACTTTTCCCAAAAGTTTTCCACAATTTTGGCCACTAATGTATAGAGAAATTTATAAATGTGTCTACACCAAGAAACTTAGCCACCACGAAGTCTAGCATGAAATGTATTTACAAAAGAAAGCACTTCTCTAGAGTACCTAGTACTTGGCCAATATCATATTACAATGTAGAAACAATCTGCACAATCACTTTGTGATGCAATGATATCATAAACCACTTATGAAAATAGTTTTGTAATAACTTTAGTGCAGACTACTTATAACATTGCTAGTTTTCTTAAAGATGATTCTTAAGAATATCTCCATATTTCACCTACATAATATTTCACAGAAATGTGCCCTACATTAGCCAATTTTGTCCATTTATTTTGGAAGCAACTCTCAAGAGTATTAAAACAGACCTTTTATGTCAACTGCTATCTAATTATTTTTACTGAGCCTGGAATTTTCAAACACAAAAGTAGTGTTCTCTCATCGAGCTAGGGTTTTTTTTCACTTTAATATTTTTCAAGATTCCTAATGCATGTATTTCTCAAACATAACCTGACTTCAAAATAATATGCTGTTTATAAAAGAGAAAAAAAGTACTTTAAAAACAGTATTGATGTAAAGCAAATAAATGATATGGTATGAACAAAATAGCCACCCTTTCATCATGGTCTGTGAAAAGGCAAAAAGATGCGGGTGAGATCTAATCAAAAGAAGAAAATGTCCTGATCAGACTGCCCTCTTCTCATGAATGAAGGAGCCATAGAAACGTCTTTGGTATTACGACAGTTAATCTCTTGAAAAGTGGCTGATTAATACAATATTCAGTCCAATATTATGTTAGGATAATTATGTACTTTAAATGAGGAAGGGAGAGGAGAGAGGGAACAGCATTCCGTGCCAAGCTTGGCATATAAATGTAACAAAGGATTAATGTTTTATTGCAACTTTTATAGCCCATTTGGCAACTCTATGGAAATTAATGACCCGTGTAACTAGTTTTTTCCCCTTGATAATCCTTATCAGTGAACTTTGCTCACCTCTGTTCGTGGGAGATAGTCTGGGTCTGCCTGGATCCTTGCAATAATCTCACAAAGGATGATCCCATATGAGAACACATCTGCCTAAAAAAGAAAATATAATCCCAGATTTATTTTGCAAGTATACTCTTTCTCTTCTCTTCTATCGCTGGTTTTCCCCCTTACAGTATAAGAGTATTTCTATCATATATCACATGCAAAATGGGTGCCTAACACATTGCAAAATTTTATATTACCTACTGCACCATTTCTAAATTTCTGATGGCACCCAAAATTCGACCAGCTAAGAAAAAGACTGCAGTACTGTTGCTTTATCATTAGAGGGAGCTATAAAACTTGAAAAATATTTATCAGCTTTTTTTATTATTATTATTTTTTAAAGCTACAGCTTATTGGATTTACAGGTTTGATTTACAGGTTTAAAAAACACTATTTCACAAAAGATGGATAAGGACCTATAATACTGTTCCCAATGTTAGCTAAAAATAAAATCTAAAATTTTAAGATTCTCAATATGGAAAGCAAACAATTGCTCCACAGTATATCAAATTTATCAGAGACAACAGCATTTTCATGAGGTAATCTATCTAGAAAGAAAAATAGAAAATATATCTTATGTAAAAGAAATATGCTAGATACAAGTAAACATCGCAACATTTTATTTCAAACATAACCTACCTTTTCATTATATGGCTCATCTCTCAGGACTTCAGGTGCCATCCAGTAAGGAGAACCTACCACTGGCAACTTCTCACTTCAACAAATTTAGAAAGGTAATTATTAGAAGTGTTTTCTCATATATTATACAACCCCTTTAATTTCAGCAAGGGAATGACTAACATTCCATTCCAAGCAAAGCATATAGGTAGGACAATGTTGTCATTATTTCACATATTTCACAATCCTGAAAGGTATTCTACCAGGAAGTATATTACAAAGTCTATTGAAAGAAGAAAATACGGTATGTGCCACAGTGAAAGGTTTAAGCAAAGTTATACCTATGTGTGCAAATCATTTATACATTGCAATCAAATCTAAATGGATATCCTCAAGGTTTTTTAAAAAAGTGTTAAAACTGCAAAATAGCTCTTAAATACATTTAGTATCCGCATCAGTTACCTTTCACAAATATGCTACTCATGCATATAGAGAATGATTATATTCAAAAGCTAAAAAGTAAGCAGTTCAGTAAATAATCCAAAAGACTTTTTAGTCAAATGCTGAATCTTAGAAGGCAATGATCAGTGATTTACAATTGTATAGTTTAACATTATAATATTATTAAACTCTAATTGGTGTTTACTCAGAAATAATGCTTACCTATAATCAGGAATTTTCTCTGCCAACCCAAAATCACCCACTATAGCAGAATATCCATTCTCATCATTCTTTATTAAACAGTTCTAATAAAAGCAAAGAAACAATAATTAATATTAAGTAGGCATAGAACCACTATAATACTGCTGCAATAAACAATTTGATTTTGATTCCATCACCTATGAACATACCAGTATCTACCAACCTCTTAACCCATTCTGCCTTTTAAATGTTTAAAAGATTATTTAATAATTAACAGTATTTTAAAAATGAATCGCTGCAAAGCTAAGTGCCATCCTCAACTTTTGATGAACAATTCCACATAGGCCCCATGGGTAGACTCCAAAAAATAAAAATGCTGAATGGGAGTAGCTAGTGCTTTGTTTGTAAATACAACAATGGTAAGCAAAGGATTGAAAACAAGTGGCCTTGAGGAGGCAGTAAAACAAATAGCAAATAGCACTTAGACTTATATACTGCTTCACAGTGCTTTACAATCCTCTCTAAGCAATTTACAGTGTCAGCATTTGCTCCCAACAATTTGGGTCCTTTTACCGACCTTGGAAGGATGGAGGGCTGAGTCAACCTTGGGCTGGTGAGAATTGAACTGCCAAACTCCTGGTAGTCAGCAGTGAGCAGAAGTAGCCTAACCACTGTGCCATCATGGCTCAAAAAGTAAGCCTACTATTTGACCCTTTCTTTACAATAGCTATTTGGTGAAGGCAACCTTCATCTGACAGACATTTCACCAAGTGCCTATAACCAGATCTCAAAATATTTACATAGGTTGTGGACCTATCTACATAGTATAGTACTGTTCTTTATTTCCCGCCAATTAAATAATTTCTGCTCCAATTGTACTGAATATTGCGCATAGCACATAAATAATCTGTTAAGAGTAAGCAAGAATGAATATTGGAATACGTTGAAGAGCTGAGGTGGCACAGCAGTTAGAGTGCAGTACTGCAGGCCACTTTAGCTGACTGTGTTCAGCAGGTCAGCGGTTCAAATCTCACTGGCTCAAGGTTGACTCAGCCTTCCATCCTTCCGGGGTAGGTAAAATGAGGACCCAGATTGTTGGGTGCAATGTAAATATATATATACATTGCTTACTGGTGTACACCGCTTAGAGAGTGCTTGCACTTAAAGCGGTATATAAGTCTCATAAATAAATAAATAAATAAATAAGGCATCTATTAACAATATTGATCATGAACAACTTAAAGAATAACTAATGAAGTTGGGAAAATATATTTCATTTATTTGTATCCTGCCTTTATTATTTTTACAAATAATTCAAGGCAGTGTGCTTACCTAATATTCTTTCCTCATCCTATTTTCCCAAAAAAACCACTCTGTGAGGAGAATTAGACTGAGAGAGTGTTTAACTGGTCCAAAATCACCCAACTGGCCTTAACCACAACACCAAACTGGCATTATACTATCAAAACTTCAGCATATTTTTTCATGCACAAAGATTTTAATTCTAAATATTATTAATTCTCACCTAAATGAATTTTAGAATATACAGCTTACTTTGGATTTCTAACTGTACATAAAGCCCCCTGAACTGTGCTTACCCAATGCACTTTGAATCTTTTCATCTAATTAAACAAATGTATTCATTTAGTTTATTTGGGATTGAATATTTGTTCACTGCAAAATGTACATAAATCCTAAAGGAATAACATTAATCATACTGCAATGTTAAAAACATGATAAAAATCCACACTTGAAACTACCTTTTTGTAGGTAGCTTCAATGATTTAATGATAGTCATTTGTTTCCCTCTCTCAATTAGCACATAAGACTGTTGTTTGATTTGTAAATATTACAAAGGAATTATTTAAAGTACTATTTTATGAAGGTTCAATAAAGAACCATATTTAGAATTTGTGAAAAAGATATCTATCATAAATGGTACAGTTATTTCTTAAACTCTTGGTTAGTTTAATCCAAAGCTCTAGGAGTGATAGGCAACTGTGTTCTTTTGCTATGTACTGCTGGGAAGTGACTTTAATATACACAAGTACACTATGCAATTTTATTATTGATTATGACAATATTTACAAAACAATTGTAAAGAAATCCCAGCACTAATTGTGTAGGATTAGAATACAGGCATATTGTGTGCCAGAGAAGGGGAACATAAAGCAATACAAATATCCAGGCCTTTCTTCATGCACCTTAAAGTTGCTTCTTTAAAATCTACATGAAGAGTCAATTCCTTGCTGCTCGGTAGGGAGGGAATAAGGGATTGCAAAACTCAGTGCTTTTTTTCTTTAAAAAAAAAAAAAAGTGCCAGAACTCACACACGTCATAAAACCCGCCTTGCCTACCCTACAAGGTTCCATCTAAAAAAGGTGCTGGAACTCCGTTCTGAGTGTTCTATGACAAAAAAAAAAAAGCCCTGGCAAGACTAGCAGAGAAACTGTTACAGAATGGAATAGAATGGAACTTTGAAAATGAAGATCAAGTAATCACCGCAACAGCTCAGTAGCAGCCAACGGTACTGAAGCAACCACAACATTCCCTAGTTTCATTTTCTCTGGAGTTACGGATCCCTAATGTAGGCACATTCTGTAAGTTAGCCCAACTGAGGTACCTTGGTTCAAAAATTATCATCCTATGATGCACCAATTCACTCAGGTAAAGATCATGAGGAGAAGTTAGTAGTATATAGATATTCCAGATTCTCATTTACAGTTCTGGCATATACACAAGTGACTAACTTCATTAAAAAAAAATAGGTATATTTTAAATATGTATATTTGAAGCACAGTTTGAAAGCAACACCACTACTCATTTTTAATAAAGTATTATGTTTTATACCAATAGATTAGCCCTAGAATGTTATAAAAGTTAGAAAGCTATAAGAACATCGCACCAAATAACTTAATTTTACATCTATTTTCCTGGAAATATAATTCTTAACTCACAATTGCAGTTTGCTTTCATCTGATAATAAGACAATACAGCTTGGAAAAGGGATAAAAAGATCAAAAGAATTCCCAAAAAATTGCTGCCAGCAAATACAATCAAATAGAAGAACATTACCTTGGAAGTCAAATCTCTGTGGAAAATTCCTTTGTAATGGAGATAACTGAGTCCGAGAGCAATATCCAATGCCAGCTTTACTCGCACTGTCCAGGACAAGTGCTGATTACTATCTAACAATTGTTCCAGGTTACCACAGTTGATGTACTGTAAAGAAACAAAGCTGTGATTAAAAATATAGTTCAAAGCAAAAAAAAAAAAATACTGTTGAGAAAAGATGGTACATTTCAGCATGCAGCTGGGTTTAGTGAAGAGCTCTTCTTTGTCTCAGTAGACTAACAAATTAGTGTAACTGAATTAAAATATCCTATTATAATCCAATACACAGTTACTGAATTAATACACCGTGATTAGCTCCTCTAGTCAAGCAAAAATTATGATTCTATTTTATAAAGATTAAGCCCTGAAAGAATATACAGTAATTTTGATAATTTTGATTCTTACTCTGCCTAATTCCTTAAAGTGCTCATAAAAATAAAAAATGTAAGTTTAGGAACAGCAGGCAAGTACAATAGAAATTTATAACATAGTATCCTGGATTTTCATAATTATAGTTACTATTTACCAGCAAGGGTGATAAGATTTAAAGCCCTTTTCTCCCTTATGTTTATATAATAATTTGTTTTCCTCTATCTCACTTATAAATGTTATGATTAAGAACTATACAATTTTGTAAACAGTGGTGAAAAGGGAATTGCAAAGGGAATTTTATGATTTGGGACGGCTGATGTAAGAGTTACACTAACGTGGGAAATTATTTCTGTTAATGTTAACTGAAGCAAAATAGAAGAGCAACTGAGGATAACAACTATAATTGCAATTATTTTAATTACTGCACTTCTCAAGTTCAAACTAAAGAGAGGCATGAAACTAGATCCTATTGCTCAGGTGAATTTTACTATCTGCCAAATGACCTAATTATGGCTTTTCAAAATGTGCAACAGGATTAAGTTGAATGCTTGCAAAGTGTTTCCTAATTCAAAAACCTGTTGTAAAAGGGGAGGAGAATGTACTGCTTTTTCTTTTCTTTCAGCACCCAGTCAAGGTGGGTCCTACATGTTCAATGTTAAATTTAATTGACCACTTTTTCTTCTTCGTTTGTACACTATTTTTTTCTTTTTCCTTTTTGTTAGGGTTGAATGTATGCTTTTGTTTTGTTTCATTTTGTTGGTTTGTTTTATTGTTTTGTAATTTATTCTCTATGATAAAACAATAAATAAAAAAAAAACCTGTTAAGTGTTTGACAATAGTCAGTGGGTTGAAACATCTGCTGCTGAACACCCAATGAATAGGAAAACAGTTGGTCAAACTATTTTATCACAGACCAAATTGGAAAAGGGCCTGACTCTTTAGGTTTCTCTGCCTGCATTCTCTACATTACAGCAGGGAAAGATACAGAACTTTAGTGGTCTATTATGATATTATAATATACACTAGATATCCTCATCTTATTTTGAATGTGAGTTTCTGAAGGATGGAATTCTAGACATAAGAGGCTCTCCATTCCTGAGGTTTCTGGCCCAGGGAAACAACTGATACTTACGTTTTCCCAAATTGTTTTGATAAAAATCACCCTTGAGTGAATGTTTTGACTTCATGACTGAAACTTGCACATTTTATGGATGTGGAAGAAGTTAATTAAAGTGATCCACACTAAAAATTTATATATCTGAATAACTTCTCAATGTTCCTTACAAAATTTCTTAGCATTTTAGCAAGCATTTTTTCTTTAAAAAATCCTGTTTGATTTTATTTTCCAAAATGCCGAAATGAGTTGAGAACATGGCAGAATGTTCAAGAGCATCTTTTCACATTTGAATATAGTACAAACTATAACAAGCTAATATACCAATGAATTGTATGGTTTTATTTGTTGTTGATTCTTCTTTCCATTGGTGTTTTAATTATTATACTGTACACTAAGAGTTATTTGATTGTGACAGGATACAAGTCTAGTCAATAAATCAATCAGAAAACCGGTAGTTATTAAACAGCCAACCAATGTATTTATAATAGAACTTTTCAGTTTACACAATCCATAAATGTAATCAGGTTCATTGGAGAATTATAGCCACCTTTATATGAACTTGACCCTTGCCTTTCCTTCCTTATAAAGACAAGGAGAATAATGAAATGGTTAATGAAAGCGGTGAACATCACTTTAGCATGCAGCTCGATTGTATGTCACCTAAAAGTGCATAAGAGTTTCAACATTAATCAAAATGAGATTGAAAATGCCTATCTATGCCTCTGCAAGATAATAAAATATACTGAAACTGAAATCCAATATATTTGGAAGGCAAGAGGAAGAGTAATCTGTTCAGAGATCTGGATGGCTCTCACCCTGAAGGTGTTCAAGAACCTATTAAAAATGAACTCACCTATTAAAAAACTGGTTATTTTCCCAGTCTCTGGGGAAGAGCAAAGATCGAGTCCATGCTGGACGGATTTTTTTCAGTTCTTGTTGTTTCTAGGGGTGTTCATGTTTTTCTGAATGTTGTACATTATAAAAAAAACCCTTTTTAATTATAAACTGTTCAGGATTTGGACAGTCTATAATTGTTTAAATAAACAAATAGCCTCCATGGCTCTGTATGGAGTAGTATCTTGGCTCCAGATATTTCTGAGTGCAATAGATTGTCCATTTTAATCTAACTTTATATAGGATTATGGAACAGACTTCAGATGGCCCATTATAGGCCCGACCTGGTGTTAAGGAATGCTACTCGATTGGTTTTGTAGAAACTCTACAACTATTAATACCATTAATCCTTACATACATCTCGACAACTTATCTAAAATGGGACTAGAAATCCAGTGGTGCTAATCCTTTTGAGAAGGACATTTAATAACATAATTATTACTTTATGGTATTCCTCGTTCAACATAAACATAATCTCTGATAGAGATTGTTTATAGTTTGGGTACTGCTGAGACTATTTCTTCATATGGTGCCTGTTTTGGTTGTCTTGGAACATTTTGTAACACAAAATATACATAGTGGTTTCCATGAACATATTCTTATTGTTATGGGAAATAAAAATTTAGAACAAGATGCAATTTCCAAACTACTACAATTCCATTGTTATGTCCCAACTGAGGGAAACTGAACTGCAGTTTGAACAATCATTGTTCATTTAAGCAGAATAACCTCTGCATCCCATTTGGAATATACTAGGGACTCCTTTTTTAAAGATAGATGCTGACAACCTGAAACCATGCTATGGAGAGTGGAAAGAGGGCATATATATATGTAACTCACAACTATTTAGTATCATAATTAAATTACAGTTCAGAGATAAGTGAAGACTTAGCACTATTCAAAGACTTTAATAATGCAACTATATCCAGTTTCATAATAATTGGCCACTTGGTTTCAAGAACTTTGTTCCTTGTAACAGTAACTTAATCTAATCTCAGAGCAATTAGCAGATGAAAAAGGCAATTGCACAGAGAACATACAGTGGGGCAAAAAAGTATTTAGTCAGCCACCAATTGTGCAAGTTCTCCCACTTAAAAAGATGAGAGAAGCCTGTAATTGTCATCATAGGTAGACCTCAACTATGAGAGACAAAATGAGAAAACAAATCCAGACAATCACATTGTCTGATTTGGAAAGAATTTATTTGCAAATTATGGTGGAAAATAAGTATGTGGTCAATATCAAAAGTTCATCTCAATACTTTGTTATATATCATTTGTTGGCAATGACAGAGGTCAAATGTTTTCTGTAACTCTTCACAAGGTTGGCACACACTGTTGCTGGTATGTTGGCCCATTCCTCCATGCAGATCTCCTCTAGAGCAGTGATGTTTTGGGGCTGTCGCTGGGCAACACGGACTTTCAACTCCCTCCAAAGGTTTTCTATGGAGTTGAGAGCTGGAGACTGGCTAGGGCACTCCAGGACCTTGAAATGCTTCTTACGAAGCCACTCCTTCGTTGCCCGGGCAGTGTGTTTGGGATCATTGTCATGCTGCAAGACCCAGCCGTGTTTCATCTTCAATGCCCTTGCTGATGGAAGGAGGTTTGCACTCAAAATCTTACAATACATGGCCCCATTCATTCTTTCCTATACACGGATCAGTCATCCTGGTCCCTTTGCAGAGAAACAGCCCCAAAGCATGATGTTGCCACCCCAATGCTTCACAGTAGGTATGATGTTCTTTGGATGCAACTCAGCATTCTCTCTCCTCCAAACACGACGAGTTGTGTTTCTACCAAACAGTTCTACTTTGGTTTCATCTGACCATAGGACATTCTCCCAATCCTCTTCTGGATCTTCCAAATGCTCTCTAGCAAACTTCAGACAGGCCCGGACATGTACTGGCTTAAGCAGGGGGACACGTCTGGCATTGCAGGATCTGAGTCCCTGGCGGCGTAGGATGTTACTGATAGTTGCCTTTGTTACATTGGTCCCAGCTCTCTGCAGGTTATTCACTAGTCCCCCTGTGTGGTTCTGGGATTTTTGCTCACCATTCTTGTGATCATGTTGATCCCACGGGGTGAGATCTTGCGTGGAGCCCCAGATCGAGGGAGATTATCAGTGTTCTTGTATGTCTTCCATTTTCTAATTATTGCTCCCACAGTTGATTTCTTCACACCAAGCTGCTTACCTATTGCAGATTCAGTCTTCCCAGCCTGGTGCAGGTCTACAATTTTGTTTCTGGTGTCCTTCGACAGCTCTTTGGTCTTCACCATAGTGGAGTTTGGAGTGTGACTGTTTGAGGTTGTGGACAGGTGTCTTTTATACTGATAACAAGTTCAAACAGGTGCCATTAATACAGGTAATGAGTGGAGGACAGAGGAGCCTCTTAAAGAAGAAGTTACAGGTCTGTGAGAGCCAGAAATCTTGCTTGTTTGTAGGTGACCACATACTTATTTTCCACCATAATTTGCAAATAAATTCTTTCCAAATCAGACAATGTGATTGTCTGGATTTGTTTTCTCATTTTGTCTCTCATAGTTGAGGTCTACCTATGATGACAATTACAGGACTCTCTCATCTTTTTAAGTGGGAGAACTTGCATAATTGGTGGCTGACTAAATACTTTTTTGCCCCACTGTATTACATGACCGGCAGGGGAAAAAAAATAATCTGGAGAAGCAGAGAACTTGTTTATGTTTTCCACAGATACCAGATCTGTGCT